GGTGCGCTGGAGGTGATTAGGGTGCGTTGGGTTTCCATTCTGGTGTTGCCGAGGTGGTGCGCTCAGACCGGTGGCTCAGTAGACCGGTGAATCAGAGCGCCGGAGGGGAGCAGCGCTTTTGGATATCAGATCGACAGTTACTAACCTCGATTTTGACTTAGAATCTGACTCATCTGTTCCCTTGTTCACACCGAACCCTATTCCTTAGTTTCATGGGCTACCAAAATGACGCAGGCGTAGACACGGTAGACGGGCTGGCGTCCTGGTGAGACTGAGACGAAGTGAAAATCGACCAGCACTCACCTCCATTTTATTGACAAATGTCCAGTCACTCAAGAATGATGGATGAGATTCGTTCGAGAGTCTCCTATCAGAGAGACTTGAAAAGCTGCAACATTATATGCCTTGCAGAAACTTCTGCTGGCTGAATCAATGACCATAGAACTCAGTGGTTTCTTCATGCAGTGTCATGATCAAACGGCAGTAGCCTCGGGCAAGTCCAAAGGGAGAGGGGTGTGCCTCTTCATAAACAACAACTGGTGCACTGTTTCCAGTGTGAAGGAAATCTCTAGCTTTTGCTCACCTAATATAGAATAAGCTGCAGAGCTTTTTCTCTACCAAGAGAGTTCTCATCCGTAATTATCACGGCTGTCAACATCCCTCCACAAGCCAACACCACTTTGGCAATCAACAAACTGTATGGTGCCATAAACAAACAAGAAACTGCACACCCAGGGGAAGCATTTCTGGTGGGCGGAGACTTTAACGCCGGCAGACTTAAAACCATTTTACCTCACTTCTACCAACATGTCTCCTCCGCCACTAGGGGCGCTATTCTACCCACAGAAACGCATACAAGGCCCTCCCTCATCTCCCCATCGGCAAATCAGACCATGACTCTATCCTCCTGCTTCCTTTTTACAAACAAAAGCTCAAACAGGAAGTACCAGTGACGCGCTCAATACGGAAGAGGTCCGATGAAGCAGACTTGAGGCTACAAGACTGTTTTGCTAGTACAGACTGGGATATGTTCCAGGATTCATCCGATAGCATTGAGGAGTTTACCACATCAGTCACGGGCTTCATCAATAAGTGCATAGACGACGTCGTCCCCACAATAACTATACGAACTAGGGATGTTAACAGTTAACCGTTAATCCATTAGCCGATGAAAATACATTTGACCGGTCATGCTAATCAGTCTATGGGTTAATTTGCATAATATTGTGGAATTAAATTGGCACGTGTATATTTCCGTTAGTCGTCATGTATCTTATCACACGTACACAGCATACAGAGCCTAGTTTGAGGAGCGGAATGGCCTATCACCTGTCAGACAGCGCGAGAGCAGCTCCTCATAAAGCTGGTACTGGAGTGAAACATGCTTTTATAAGTCCAGTCATTGCGCAACAAATAATTCTAAATGCAATCGTGTGTTAACTGTTTTGATGGCCACAATTAATGTGTTAAAAACTGTTTTGATGGTCTCGACTGAAAATAGCTACTATTTTTATTTCTCAATCTTAACTTGTAATTAAAGCATGCTTCCCATTCGAGTGCATAGGCTGTATTCAATGGTAGGCATGATATCAGCGTGTTACCCACCACTTTACAATGTGAGTTTGAGGCAGTAAATTGGCCCCCAAAATTGCCAAAGACTTCAGCCACCCAAGTCATAGACTGTTCACTCTGCTACCGTCCGGCAAACGGTACCGGAGCATCGGTTCTCGGACCAACATGCTCCGAAACAGCTTCTACCCCCCCAGCTATAAGACTGCTAAATAGCCATACGACTGCTACATATTTAATTAAATAGTTAATTAAAACTGCATTGACCCTATCTTGCATTTACCCTATGCACACTCACAAGACTATTATACACACTACAGTGCCTTGCAAAAGTATTCATCCCCCTTGGCGTTTGTCCTATTTTGTTGCATTACAACCTGTAATTTAAATGGATTTCATGTAATGAAGATACACTAAATAGTCCAAATTGGTGAAGTGAAATGAAAAAAATAACTTGTTTCGTAAAAGCAAAAGTGGTGCGTGCATATGTATTCACCCCCTTTGCTATGAAGCCCCTAAATAAGACCTGGTGCAACCAATTACCTTCAGAAGTCACATAATTAGTTAAATAAAGTCCACCTGTGTGCAATCTAAGTGTCACATGATCTGTCACATGATCTCAGTATATATACACCTGTTCTGAAAGGCCCCAGAGTCTGCAACACCACTAAGCAAGGAGCACCACCAAGCAATTGGCACCATGAAGACCAAGGAGCTCTCCAAACAGGTCAGGGACAAAGTTGTGGAGAAGTACAGATCAGGGTTTGGTTATAAAAAAATATCTGAAACTTTGAACATCCCACGGAGCACCATTAAATCCATTATTTAAAAATGGAAAGAATATGGCACCACAACAAACCTGCCAAGAGAGGACCGCCCACCAAAACTCAGGCAAGGAGGGCATTAATCAGAGAGGCAACAAAGAGACTAAAGATAACCCTGAAGGAGCTGCAAAGCTCCACCGCGGAGATTGGAGTATCTTTCCATAGGACCACTTTAAGCTGTACACTCCACAGAGCTGGGCTTTACGAAAGAGTGGCCAGAAAAAAGCCATTGCTTAAAGAAAAGAACAAGCAAACACGTTTGGTGTTCGCCAAAAGGCATGTGGGAGACTCCCCAAACATATGGAAGAAGGTACTCTGGTCAGATGAGACTAAAATTGAGCTCTTTGGCCATCAAGGGAAACACTATGTCTGGCGCAAACCCAACACCTCTCATCACCCCGAGAACACCATCCCCACAGTGAAGCATGGTGGTGGCAGCATCATGCTGTGGGGATGATTTTCATCGGCAGGGACTGGGAAACTGGTCAGAATTGAAGGAATGATGGATGGCGCTAAATACAGGGAAATTCTTGAGGGAAACCTGTTTCAGTCTTCCAGAGATTTGAGACTGGGGCGGAGGTTCACCTTCCGGCAGGACAATGACCATAAGCAAACTGCTAAAGCAACATTCGAGTGGTTTAAGGGGAAACATTTAAATGTCTTGGAATGGCCTAGTCAAAGCCCAGACCTCAATCCAATTGAGAATCTGTGGTATGACTTAAAGATTGCTGTACACCAGCGGAACCCATCCAACTTGAAGGAGCTGGAGCAGTTTTGCCTTGAAGACTGGGCAAAAATCCTGGTGGCTAGATGTGCCAAACTTATAGAGACATACCCCAAGAGACTTACAGCTGTAATTGCTGCAAAAGGTGGCTCTACAAAGTATTGACTTTGGGGGGGTGAATAGTTATGCACGCTCAAGTTTTCTGTTTTTTTGTCTTATTTCTTGTTTGTTTCACCCCAAAAAATATTTTGCCTCTTCAAAGTGGTAGGCATGTTGTGTAAACCAAATGATACAAACCCCCCAAAAATCTATTTTCATTCCAGGTTGTAAGGCAACAAAATAGGAAAAATGCCATCCCTCTGAAATACTTTTTTTGACTTTTCAGAGTCAGTTATATCTCTTTTTTTGCCCATTTTGCCTGAGGAAAAGAAGCTGCCTAATAATTATACACACCTTGATACAGGGCGTTGATCTCCTTATGCCACACCCTCCCTCATTACACAAATACACATCACCTGATATGCTTAAATCCAATAAGCATTCCAGTTTATACAGCTTGGAGTTGGGAAATATGCATACTAATGATGATATGGTCAAAATACTGACTTGCCTAATAATTGTGCACACAGTGTACGCACTCACTCACACACATTACACTGACACTCTTACAAAAAAACACACACACACACATACACACTTGAACACTCATCATATGCTGCTGCTACTCTGTTCTTTATTTTACTCTTATTATTATCTATCCTGATGCCTAGTTACTTTACCCTGCCTTTATGTACATATCTACCTCAAATACGTTGTACAGTACCTCTGCACATTGATCTGGTACTTGTACTCCATGTATATAGTTTCATTCTTGTGTATTTTATTCCTCTTGTGTTACTATTTTTTTGTGTGTGTTATTTTGTAAAACTCTGCATCGTTGGGAAGGGCTCAAAAAAAAAGTCTACACCCGTTGTATTCGGCGCATGTGACATATACAATGTGATTAGATCTTTGATTTGATGGTAAGGCAGGATGGAACACACATGCTCAGACAGAATATACAGACTCTAGACCAGTCTAGAGACGGAACACAGAATCTAGATGGAACGTATAGGACTAGATGGATCAGACCTAACCAGAACTCATAGACCCCCAAACAGATCACATGGGTGTCTCAGACCCATTCCAGTCACAGAGTGGATGGAATGGATCCACTTTTATTTATCCACTTCTCTCTGTCCCTTGTTTCCGCCTTTTACATTCATTTCCTTCCATTGATGTCACAGACAGATCCCCTGATAATGTTGAGGAAGAGTTATAGCTAGTACACTGAAGGCCTCAAGGCTTCCTCACTAACTCTACAGGCACAAACAGTCCACTCTGCAGAGAACCTGACTTTAGGGACTGACACTGAAATGGGACATTAACCTGAACACTGCTGGACCAGAATAAGGTCTCAAGTTAAAACAGAGCTATATGGGTTCACTGTTAACCACGTTTATGAAATTAAGCTAATTTCTTTGTGCCTTTCTCTCTCTCCACAGACAGATGAGCTGTGACCAGACCAAAAGACAGCGTGGATGGTGATCTCTCCTACTGGAACTCAGCTGTCTTCACCTCTCAACCTTGTGACTGCTCCCATCCCACTGCCATAGAGATCTGCTCTCCCTCACACCAGCAGTAGCAGCTAGCGATCCTAGCCAACACTAGCATAATTTGAACCATCTCCCAACTTACTGTGATTTGCTGCAATTGAATTTCCCTGCAGTTCTTAGGTCAGCTTTTTGGCGGTTCTTTTTGCCAATGAGCGTTGGTTCCCAACTGACCTAGCTGGTTAGATAAAGGACAAATAAAGACAGGTAGATAGAATCAGAGTCAGCAAGATGGATGAGTCGTACAACAACAGGACGTCACTGGTGAAGGGCGCCAAGGACATCGCCAAGGAGGCCAAACGCCACGCCGCTAAGAAGTTCAGCAAGGTCGTCAACCGCGCTTCGGACGAGTACTCCTCCCAACACAACTACAGCCAGTTCCAGAACGAGGATGAAGACGATGATGACGGACGCTCCGCCTACACGCAGCCCGACGGCAATGACCACTTCCCCGGTGGTCGCACCGCCAACGATGAAGACGGGGAAGACTACGCCAGTGATGCCACGGAGGGTCACGATGATGAAGATGAGATCTATGAGGGGGAGTATCAGGGGGTGCCTGCTGACGGGAAGCCTAGGGATGGGCATGATTCTCTGGGTCAACTTGTCTCAGACAGCCTGAGGGACCGTAAGGACCTGGAGCAGGAGAGGCAGGCGGACGAGGAGGAGCTGGCCCAGCAGTATGAGCTGATCATGCAGGAGTGTGGCCACGGCAGGTTCCAGTGGCAGCTGTTCTTTGTGCTGGGCATGGCGCTAATGTCTGATGGGGTGGAGGTGTTCGTGGTGGGGTTCGTCCTGCCCAGCGCTGAGATGGACATGTGTGTCCCCAACTCTGGAGCAGGGTGGCTAGGTAAGGTATGTGTGTGTGTGTGTGTGTGTGTGTGTGTGTGTTGGTAGAAACTAGTGATGGGGGAAAATATCGATACAGTTACATATCGGGATATTATTTTTGATGATATATTGTATCATATCGGTTTGACAATAGTGCAATATTATTTTTGCGCTAGTTGGGTATACAGTTGAAGTCGGAAGTTTACATACACTTAGGTTGGAGTCATTAAAACTCGTTTTTCAACCACTCCACAAAGTTCTTGTTAACAAACTATAGTTTTGGCAAGTCAGTTAGGACATCTACCTTGTGCATGACATAAAGTAATTAATTCCAAAAATTGTTTACAGACAGATTATTTCACTTATAATTCACTGTATCACAATTCCAGTGGGTCAGAAGTTTACATACACTAAGTTGACTGTGCCTTTAAACAGCTTGGAAAATTCCAGAAAATGATGTCATGGCTTTAGAAGCTTCTGATAGGCTAATTGACATAATTTGAGTCAATTTGAGGTGTACCTGTGGATGTATTTCAAGGCCTACCTTCAAACTCAGTGCCTCTTCGCTTGACATCATGGGAAAATCAAAAGAAATCAGCCAAGACCTCAAAAAAAATTGTAGTCTGGTTCATCCTTGGGAGCAATCTCCAAATGCCTGGAGGTACCACGTTCATCTGTACAAACAATAGTACGCAAGTATAAACACCATGGGACAACGCAGCTGTCATACCACTCAGGAAGGAGATGCGTTCTGTCTCCTAGAGATGAACGTACTTTGGTGTGAAAAGTGCAAATCAATCCCAGAACAACAGCAAAGGACCTTGTGAAGATGCTGGAGGTAACAGGTACAAAAGTATCCATATCCACAGTAAAACGAGTCTTATATCGACATAACCTGAAAGGCCGCTCAGCAAGGAAGAAGCCACTGCTCCAAAACCACCATAAAAAAGCCAGACTACAGTTTGCAACTGCACATGGGGACAAAGATCGTATTTTTGGGAGAAATGTCCTCTGGTCTGATGAAACAAAAATAGAACTGTTTGGCCATAATGCCCATCGTTATGTTTGGAGGAAAAAGGGGGTACTTGCAAGCCGAAGACCACCATCCCAACCGTGAAGCACGGGGGTGGCAGCATCATGCTGTGGGGGTGCTTTGCTGCAGGAGGGACTGGTGCACTTCACAAAATAGATTGCATCATGAGGAAGGAAAATTATCTCAAGACATCAGTCAGGAAGTTAAAGCTTGGTCGCAAATGGGTGTATGTAAACTTCCGACTTCAACTGTAAGTGTTCAGACCCTTTACTCATTTCTTTGTTGAGGCACCTTTGGCAGCGATTACAGCCTCGAGTCTTCTTGGGTATGATACTACAAGCTTGGCACACCTGTATTTGGGGAGTTTCTCCCATTCTTCTCTGCAGATCCTCTCAAGCTCTGTCAGGTTGAATGGGGAGCGTCGCTGCACAGCTATTTACTGGTCTCTCCAGAGATGATCGATCGGGTTCAAGTCCGGGCTCTGGCTGGGCCACTCAAGGACATTCAGAGGCTTGTCCCAAAGCCACTCCTGCGTTGTCTTGGCTGTGTGGTTAGGGTCATTGTCCAGTTTGAAGGTTAACCTTTGCCCCAGTCTGAGGTCCTGAGCGCTCTGGAGCAGGTTTTCATCAAGGATCTCTCTGTACATTCATCTTTCCCTCGATCCTGACTAGTCTCTCAGTCTCTTCCACTGAAAAACATCCCCATAGCATGTTGCTGCCACCACCATGCTTCACCGTAGGGATGGTGCCAGGTTTCCTCCAGATGTGACGCTTGGCATTCAGGTCAAAGAGTTCAATCTTGGTTTCTATAGACCAGATAATCTTATTTCTCATGGTCTGAGAGTCCTTTAGGTGCCTTTTGGCAAACTCCAAGCGGGCTGTCATGTGCCTTTTACTGAGGAATGGCTTCTGTCTGGCCACTCTACCAGAAAGGCCTGATTGGTGGAGTGCTGCAGAGATGGATGTCCTTCTGGAAGGTTCTCCCATCACCACAGAGGAACTCTGGAGCTCTGTCAGAGTGACCATCCAGTTCTTGGTCACCTGCCTGACCAAGGCCCTTCTCCCCCTTCTCCCCCGATTGCTCAGTTTGGCTGGGCGGCCTGCTCTAGGAAGAGTCTTGGTGGTTCCAAACTGTTTCCATTTAAGAATGATGGAGGCCACTGTGTTCTTGGGGACCTTCAATGCTGCAGAAATTTTTTGGTACCCTTCCCCAGATCTGTGCCTCAACACAATCCTGTCTCAGAGCTCTACGGACAATTCCTTCGACGTCATGGCTTGGTTTTTGCTCTGACATGCACTGTCAACTGTGGGACTTTATATAGACAGGTGTGTGCCTTTCCAAATAATGTCCAATCAATTGAATTTACCACAGGTAGACTCCAATCCAGTTGTAGAAACATCTCAAGGATGATCAATGGAAACAGGATGCACCTGAGCTCTATTTCGAGTCTCATAGCAAAGGATCTGAATACATTTGCAAAAATGTCAAAAACCTGTTTTTGCTTTGTCATTATGGGATATTGTGTGTAGATTTATGATTTAAATTTTAGAATAAGGCTGTAACGTAACAAAATATGGAAAAGGTCAAGGGGTCTGAATACTTTCCGAATGCACTGTATAGCGAGCAACATGTTTGGAACATCGAATCGCAATTAAAACACAGTATCGAATCAAAATACATATAGAATCGTGAGAATCGCAATACATATCATCTCGGCCTATGTATCATGATAATATCGTATCGTGAGGTCCCTGGCAATTCCCATCCCTAGTAGAAACGGGCAGTGAGGACATTGGATGCCATTTACAACTGTGTTCTCATTGCGTTAAAGCATGTTGGGTTGTCATGCCACCAGGTATTTGTATACTTGAGTAGGAGGTGTTTTCTCTCCCACCGCACTAGGGAGCAGTGTGTGTGTTGTTAGAGTCTACAGAAAAATGAATTCCAAGGCCACACAAACCCAGATGCAGTTAACATGTCATCATCATTATCCTCATCTGAGGTAATGGTGACTCACCCTAAAGAAACAGAGATACCACCCACTGCGCACACCAATTCATCACCAAGTAATTTCAACGAGGATAATTGGGTAATATTTGTTTGAAATTACAACCTATATTCACACACCAGGGCGTTTCAGAGGGCAGGTGCTCAATATGAAAAAAGGGCACCTTTTTTTTTTTGCATATGCCTATTTATTCTTGCAACAACACACTCACTCATCATCACAAATTGTATCAAGCTTGTTACAGTGCCTCCTAAAGACATGATTGACATCGGGAAAAGAGGGTGGTCATTGATGGTGATGATTGATGTAAATCTGCTAGTTAGCTAGCTCGATTTCTTTTACTGATTGTAATTTACCTCACTGTCTTTCTGCCTCTCTCTGCTATGCCTACCAGCCAACCAGACCGAATGTTGATGATGATGTAGGCTAAATCAAGTGTTATCAAGTGTTAATCAAATGTTATGCTGCCGTGGCAGTACTGTTGATATTTAAATTAGATAGCTATCTACACACACTCGACCGGTGACCGCATCGCTCAAGCCATGCATGTTTGGATACCAGGCGTGTGCAATCTCTATACAGGGCAGAATGAAAAAAAAGGCATAACCGTATATGGTAGATCAACAGGCTACTGAACGGACAGGGTGGGGGGTGGCGAACTTGATGACAACTTGTGGGCAGTGGTTTCCAAACATCCAAATTCCAATGGAAAAACAATGTCTGATTTTTGGTTTAGTTGTCACCCAAATGTCTATCACTGTGCTTTCAACCATTTAAAAGCACAGCAACGTAGAAATGGGAATACAATGTCAGATACTTGTTTATTTAAACAACAGATTCATGTGTTATCCCTGTGCTTCATCTAATAGCAGAACCAAATGACCTGGATTGCAGTTGAAATTACATTAAAAGTACATGGTGCAAGTGATCAATGCCATTCGAGATTCTGCACAGACTATTTCAGCAATTGTGAAGATCAATTAATCAATCAATCAATCAAATGTATTTATAAAGCCCTTTTTACATCAGCAGATGTCACAAAGTGCTTATACATAAACCCAGCCTAAAACACCAAACAGCAAGCAATGCAGATGTAGAAGCATGGTGGCTATGGAAAACTCTCTACAAAGGCAAGAACCTAGGAAGAAACCTAGAGAGGAACCAGGCTCTGAGGGGTGGCCAGTCCTCTTCTGGCTGTGCTGGGTGGAGATTATACGAGTACATGGCCATTAAGGCCAGATCGTTCTTCAAGATGTTCAAATGTTTGTGACCAGCAGGGTCAAATAATAATCAGAGTGGTTGTAGAGGGTGCAACAGGTCAGCACCTCAGGTGTAAATGTCAGTTGGCTTTTCATAGCCGAGAATTCAGAGGTCGAGACAGCAGGTGTGGTAGAGAGGGAGGGAGAGAGAGAGAGAGAGAGCGCGAGAGAGAGGGAGAGGGAGAGAGAGGGTCAAAAACAGCAGGTCCAGGACAAGGTAGCATGTCCGGTGAACAAGTCAGGGTTCCATAGCCACAGGCAGAAAAGTTGAAACTGGAGCAGCAGCACGACAAGGTAGCACATCCGGTGAACTGGTCAGGGTTCCATAGCTATAGGCAAAACAGCAGAAACTGGCTCAGCAGCACGCTCTCCACAGACCTGCGACGACCTCTGCATGCTATCTTGAACATGCACACTTTATATGATTACATAAGAAGATGGCATCCATTTATAGTTACAGGATCAAGGCGGAACAACATGGTTGTGGACGGAATTGCAGAATCTCCACATGAGACCTGGACAGAGTCTGAGGACAAAGTGAGGGAAATGGAAGATGGACCACAGGAAGATTGAAGGGGAGCGTACCCACAGGACTGGAAAAACAACCACCTGCCCAGGTGACAGGCCCAGGCCGATAGTGGTCAAGTTCCTGAGGTTCAAGTAAAAGGTAGCTGTTCTGGAAAGAGCCAAGAACTTGGGAGGAACGTACATCTTCCTCAACGAGGACTATCCTGAAGCTGTGTGCCAGAAGAGGGAAGATCTTATCCCAGCCATGAAAGCTGCCAGAGCGCGTGGGGACATTGCTTACATCCGCTATGACAGGCTCATTGTCCACCCTCCCTCCCAAAAGCCTGGGCGGGATGAGAGAGCCAAGCCTATTGGTTCGTAGCTTCAACCCCACAGCACACACACACACTTACACACACCAACTGATTAATGGACTGCTGAATGTATATTTTTTTATCTTGCTTTGTTTGCTCTTTTCCATATTATGTCTATCTCTGATAAGCTACCCAGGAAAGGGCTGAAAATATCCCATATTAATATATGTAGCCTTAGAAATAAGGTTAATGAAATCAATAACTTGCTAATATCAGATAACATTCATAAATTTGCCATTTCTGAGACTCACTTACAGTATATAGTTCATTTGATGATACAGCAGGAGCAATACAAGGATATAACATCTCTGTAGCTCAATTGGTAGAGCATGGCGCTTGTAACGCCAGGGTAGTGGGTTCGATCCCCGGGACCACCCATACGTAAAAATATATGCACACATGACTGTAAGTCGCTTTGGATAAAAGCGTCTGCTAAATGGCACATTATTATATTATTATAGAAGAGACAGGAATGCTTATGGGGGAGGTGTTGCTGTATATATTCAGAGCCATATCCCTGTAATGCTTAGAGAAGATCTTATGTCAAGTGTTATTGAAGTGTTGTGGTTGCATGTTCACCTGGCACATCTAAAACCTTTTATGTTGGGGTGTTGCTATAGGCCACTAAGTGCTAACAGTCAGTATCTAAATAATATGTGTGAAATGCTTGATAGTGTATGTACACTACCGGTCAAAAGTTTTAGAACACCTACTCATTCAAGGATTTCTCTTTTCTACATTGTAGAATAATAGTGAAGACATCAAAACTATGAAATAACACATTTGGAATCATGTAATAACCAAAACAGTGTTAAACAAATCAAAATATATTTTATATTTGAGATTCTTCAAAGTAGCCACCCTTTGCCTTGATGACAGCTTTGGACACTCTTGGCATTCTCTCAACCAGCTTCACCTGGAATGCTTTTCCAACAGTCTTGATGGAGTTTCCAACAGTCTTGATGGAGGTCGGGTGATTGTGGAGGCCAGGTCATCTGATACAGCACTCCATCACTCTCCTTCTTGGTCAAATAGCCCTTACACAGCCTGGAGGTGTGTTGGGTCATTGTCCTGTTGAAAAACAAATGATTGTCCCACTAAGCCCAAACCAGATGGGATGGCGTATCGCTGCAGAATGCTGTGGTAGCCATGCTGGTTAAGTGTGCCTTGAAATCTAAATAAATCACAGACAGTGTCACCAGCAAAGCACCCCCACACCATCACACCTCCTCCTCCGTGCTTCACGGTGGGAACTACACACGCGGAGATCATCCGTTCACCTACATTGCATCTCACAAAGACACAGCAAATTTGGACTCCAGACCAAAGGACACATTTCCACCGGTCTAATGTCCATTGCTCGTGTTTCTAGGCCCAAGCAAGTCTCTTCTTCTTATTGGTGTCCTTTAGTAGTGGTTTCTTTGCAGCAATTCGACCATGAAGGCTTGATTCACGCAGTCTTCTTTGAACAATTGATGTTGAGATGTCTGTTACTTGAACTCTGTGAAGCACTTATTTGGGGTGCAATTTCTGAGGCCGTGTGATGGATGATTTCGAAAGAGTCAGGCGCAGGAGGGTAAATCACAAAATAACAGGATTTATTCCGGAACACAGTTACGCAGTAATGTGTCAAAACACTCCAGTGCGCAAAACAGGCGCACTGGAAGCAACAAGGCACACAGGGAAATATCCCGGCGATACAAAATACTAGGAGCTCCACCGAGCTTCACTAACCTCACAATAAACAATCACACACAAAGACAAGGGGCCATAGGGAACACATATACAGGTAATGATGAGGGGATATGAACCAGGTGTGTGTAATAAACAAGACAAAACAAATGGAATGATGAGATGCGGAGCGGCAGTGGCTAGAAGGCCTGTGACGACGAACGCCGAAGCCTGCCCGAACAAGGAGAGGAGGCAGCTTCGGAGGAAGTCATGACAGGCTGGTAACTCTAATGAACTCCTCTGCAGCAGAGGTAACTCTGGGTCTTCCTTTCCTGTGGCGGTCCTCATGAGAGCCAGTTCATCATAGCGCTTTATGGTTTTTGCGACTGCACTCGAAGAAACTTTCAAAGGTCTTCACATTTTCCGTATTGACTGACCTTCATGTCTTAAAGTAAAGATGGACTGTTATTTCTCTTTGCTTATTTGAGCTGTTCTTGCCATAATATGGACTTGGTCTTTTACCAAATAGGGCTATATTCTGTATACCCTCCCCCGCTACCTTGTCACAGCACAACTGATTGGCTCAAACACATTAAAAAGGAAAGAAATTCCACAAATTAACTTTTAACAAGGTACACCTGTTAATTGAAATGCATTCCAGGTGACTACCTCATGAATCTGGTTGAGAGAATGCCTATAGTATGCAAAGCTGTCATCAAGGCAAAGGGTGGCCTTATATTTTGAGTTGTTTAACACTTTTTTGGTTACTACAAGATTCCATATGTGTTATTTCATAGTTTTGATGTCTTCACTATTATTCTACAATGTAAAAAATAGTAAAAATAAAGAAAAACCCTGGAATGAGTAGGTGTGTCCAAACTTTTGACCGGTACTGTACGTAAACAGAGAGGTCTACTTTGACTGGTTTTCATCAACCTGTCCGCTCAAGAGGAAGCTTCTCACTGTAAACAGTACCTGTAATCTGGTTCAGGTTATTAATCAACCTACCAGAGTGTTTACAAACACTACAGGAACAAGATCATCCACATGTATTGATCACATTTGTGACTTGTTTCAGGAAACTAGGCGTATGTCGTTTGTCACTACTTCACAGGGGTGCCATTTGAACATAAGCTTTTATTTTTATCAAAATGCTCCACTTTCTGGAGGACTGAGTTGGAATCAGTGGAATTAGAGTAGGATAGCTAAGGAGATGGAGAAGATTCTGGCGTATGATTGCAAATATGCAGACGGAGTCGAAAAGAGAACACACAGAAGGCTCTGGATTACATCTTCAAACTAAGGGCAACTATGGCATCCGTGACAGAGAGGGAGAAGCATCCATCCATGTATACGGGTAAGAGAGTCTAGCTAGCTCCATTTTCAGATATTACACATTTCTAATTTTGTCAGAAAGTTGTTTTCATTTCAAGTTAAAGTGTACTGTTAGCTAGCTAGCTAACGTTAGCTGGCTGGCTAGCTAGCTAACATTACGTGTTTGATCTGTGTAGTAATATTATTCGTATCGCAGCGCCATTCACATTGCTAATTATACCCTAATGTTAGCTAGCTAACATTGAACCTGGCTGGTTAGGTACCTGCAGATTCATGCAGGGTAGTAACATTATGAGTTGGGATTATGGTTCATTGTTTAGCTAGCTAGCTACATGTCTAAACAAAAGACACCACTATGCAAGTAACTATTTCAATAGAATGTTTATGATGTCACTGCGAAAACTGTCAATAGACGTAGCTGGTAAATTCGCTGACGAATTTAGGAATGCTCAACACCCATTGAATATGGCCTGTGTCAGTAAAAAAACGTTGGCAAAAAACGTGTAATTAAATTGTTGCCAGCAGCACAATTGCAGTCACCAACGCTTTGGATAACATAAAAACAGCCTAACCAGCTCTGCTAGGGCGAGTAAAATGGTCAGAATGAGCTGTCATTTGTGTCTGAAAGTAGCTCACAAGCTATCCAACATTAGCCAGTTAGCTTGACTGCTGTTGTTAGGTCAGAACGCTCAGATCAACCCTACTTTTCGGCCAGAGCGTCCAGTGTGCGCTCCAAGAACAAAACGCTCTGAATTTACGAATGGCCAATCTGACAACGCTCTGAGTTTACGAACACCCAGAGCACACTCTAGCACTCCAGATTAAGTTTACGAACACACCCGTAGTATAAACCATGCTTTAGTCTTGAAATCTTTGGTTGTTTAGTACATAGCCTCAGATGTGAATCCTTAAAGAGATGGGTGGGGCTAAAGCTTAAAAGGTTGTGAATGATGCTGAATGGATGTAGACAAAGAAGAGCTCTCCAGTAGGTACCAAAACATTCAAGGGCCATTTTCTCAAAAGAGAGGTTACAAGTTTATCAACTTTCAAAGCAGAATTACTTTCCCATTGTTCCTCAACTGTAGTGTGTGATATACCATTTTTCTAGCTCTGAGTCTCTACTTTTATCCAATGTAAAAAGCACAATTTCAAATGTTGCTACATAAGACCGAATCGAGCTGGTCGGTCACATTTTTACTAATACTGTAGAACTTTGTTCTAAAGCTACAGTGGGGGAAAAAAGTATTTAGTCAGCCACCAATTGTGCAAGTTCTCCCACTTAAAAAGATGAGAGAGGCCTGTAATTTTCATCATAGGTACACGTCAACTATGACAGACAAAATGAGATTTTTTTTCTCCAGAAAATCACATTGTAGGATTTTTAATGAATTTATTTGCAAATTATGGTGGAAAATAAGTATTTGGTCAATAACAAAAGTTTCTCAATACTTTGTTATATACCCTTTGTTGGCAATGACACAGGTCAAACGTTTTCTGTAAGTCTTCACAAGGTTTTCACACACTGTTGCTGGTATTTTGGCCCATTCCTCCATGCAGATCTCCTCTAGAGCAGTGATGTTTTACATTTACATTTTACATTTAAGTCATTTAGCAGACGCTTTTATCCAGAGCGACTTACAGTTAGTGAATACATATTTTTTTTTATACTGGCCCCCCGTGGGAATTGAACCCACAACCCTGGCGTTGCAAACGCCATGCTCTATCAACTGAGCTACATCCCTGCCGGCCATTCCCTCCCCTACCCTGGACGACGCTGGGCCAATTGTGCGCCGCCCATGAGTCTCCCGGTCGCGGCCGGCTGCGACAGAGCCTGGATTCGAACCAGGATCTAGTGGCACAGTTAGCACTGCGATGCAGTGCCTTAGACCACTGCGCCACTCAGGCTAACCTGTTTTGGGGCTGTCGCTGGGCAACACGGACTTTCAACTCCCTCCAAAGACTTTCTATGGGGTTGAGATCTGGAGACTGGCTAGGCCACTCCAGGACCTTGAAATGCTTCTTACGAAGCCACTCCTTCGTTTCCCGGGCGGTGTGTTTGGGATCATTGTCATGCTGAAAGACCCAGCCACGTTTCATCTTCAATGCCCTTGCTGATGGAAGGAGGTTTTCACTCAAAATCTCACGATACATGGCCCCATTCATTCTTTCCTTTACACGGATCAGTCGTCCTGGTCCCTTTGCAGAAAAACAGCCCCAAAGCATGATGTTTCCACCCCCATGCTTCACAGTAGGTATGGTGTTCTTTGGATGCAACTCAGTATTCTTTGTCCTCCAAACACGACGAGTTGAGTTTTTACCAAAAAGTTCTATTTTGGTTTCATCTGACCATATGACATTCTCCCAATCCACTTAAGGATCATCCAAATGCACTCTAGCAAACTTCAGACGGGCCTGGACATGTACTGGCTTAAGTAAAGGACACGTCTGGCACTGCAGGATTTGAGTCCCTGGCGGCGTAGTGTGTTACTGATGGTAGGCTTTGTTACTTTGGTCCCAGCTCTCTGCAGGTCATTCACTAGGTCCCTCTGTGTGGTTCTTGGATTTTTGCTCACCGTTTTTGTGATCGTTTTGACCCCACGGGGTGAGATCTTGCGTGGAGCCCCAGATCGAGGGAGATTATCAGTGGTCTTGTATGTCTTCCATTTCCTAATAATTGCTCCCACAGTTGATTTCTTCAAACCAAGCTGCTTTCCTATTGCAGATTCAGTCTTCCCAGCCTGGTGCAGGTCTACAATTTTGTTTCTGGTGTCCTTTGACAGCTCTTTGGTCTTGGCCATAGTGGAGTTTGGAGTGTGACTGTTTGAGGTTGTGGACAGGTGTCTTTAATACTGATTGAACAAGTTCAAACAGGTGCCATTAATACAGGTAACGAGTGGAGGACAGAGGAGCCTCTTAAAGAAGAAGTTACAGGTCTGTGAGAGCCAGAAATCTTGCTTGTTTGTAGGTGACCAAATACTTATTTTCCACCATAATTTGCAAATAAATTCATTAAAAATCCTACAATGTGATTTTCTGGATTTGTTTTTCTCAATTTGTCTGTCATAGTTGACGTGTACCTATGATGAAAATTACAGGCCTCTCTCATCTTTTTAAGTGGGAGAACTTGCACAATTGGTGGCTGACTAAATACTTTTTTTCCCCACTGTATATCCGTACTTATTGGATGCAGTGATCACAAAGAGTTCCAAATGCTGGGCCTAAAATAGAATGTACAGTTGAAGTCGTAAGTTTACATACACCTTAGCCAAAGACATTTAAACTCAGTTCTTCACAATTCCTGACATTTAATCCTAGTAAAATTCCCTGTCTTAGGTCAGTTAGGATCACCACTTTATTTTAATAATGGGAAATGTCAGAATAATAGTAGAGAGAATGATTTATTTCAGGATTTATTTCTTTCATCACATTCCCAGTGGGTCAGAAGTTTACATACACTCAATTAGTATTTGGTAGCATTGCCTTTAAATTGTTTAACTTGGGTCAAACGTTTCGGGTAGCCTTCCACAAGCTTCCCACAATAAATTGGGTGAATTTTGGCCCATTCCTCCTGACAGAACAGGTGTAACTGAGTCAGGTTTGTAGGCCTCCTTGCTCGCACACGCTTTTTCAGTTCTGCCCACAAATGTTCAATAGGATTGAGGTCAGGGCTTTGTGATGGCCACTCCAATACCTTGACTTTGTTGTCCTTAAGCCATTTTGCCACAACTTTGGAAGTATGCTTGGGGTCATTGTCCATTTGGAAGACCCATTTGCGACCAAGCTTTAACTTCCTGACTGATGTCTTGAGATGTTCCTTCAATATATCCACATCATTTTCCTTCCTCATGATGCTATCTATTTTGTGAAGTGCACCAGTCCCTCCTGCAGCAAAGCACCCCTACAGCATGATGCTGCCACCCCCGTGCTTCACGGTTGGGATGGTGTTCTTCGGCTTGCAAGCAACCCCCTTTTTCCTCCAAACATAACAATGGTCATTATGGCCAAACAGTTCTATTTTTGTTTCATCAGACCAGAGGACATTTCTCCAAAAAGTACGATCTTTGTCCCCATGTGCAGTTGCAAACCGTAGTCTGGCATTTTTATGGCGGTTTTGGAGCAGTGCCTTCTTCCTTGCTGAGCGGCCTCGTTTTACTGTGGATATAGATACTTTTGTACCTGTTTCCTCCGGCATCTTCACAAGGTCCTTTGCTGTTGTTCTGGGATTGATTTGCACTTTTCACACCAAAGTACGTTCATCTCTAGGAGACAGAACGTGTCTCCTTCCTGAGCGGTATGATGGCTCTGTGGTCCCATGGTGTTTATACTTGCGTACTATTGTTTGTACAGATGAACGTGGTACCTTCAGGCATTTGGAAATTGCTGGCAAGGATGAACAAGACTTGTGGAGGTCTAAAAAAAAAATTCTGAGGTCTTGGCTGATTTATTTTATTTTCCCATAATGTCAAGCAAAGAGGCACTGCGTTTGAAGGTAGGCCTTGAAATACATCCACAGGTACACCTCCAATTGACTCAAATTATGTCAATTAGCCTATCAGAAGCTTCTAAAGCCATGACATCATTTTCTGGAATTTTCCAAGCTGTTTAAAGGCACAGTCAACTTAGTGTATGTAAACTTCTGAACCACTGGAATTGTGATACAGTGAATTATAAGTTAAATAATCTGTCTGTTAACAATTGTTGGAAAAATTACTTATGTCATGCACAAAGTAGATGTCCTTACCGATTTGCCAAAACTATAGTTTGTTAAGAAGAAATTTGTGGAGTGGTTGAAAAACAAGTTTAAATGACTCCAACCTAAGTGTATGTAAACTTCCGACTTCAACTGTATATCCGAATGCCGCTGGTTCTCGTTCTAATCTTCGTCTTGGCATTTATTCCCTAATTTTCCTTCTTATCTTTCTCTCTTTACTTCTTTATATATTTGTTTATACCTGGACGGCTAGTCAATATCTCAAATAGTATTACTATTTCCTGTATCCACCACTGTTTAAATTCTAATCCTCCTGGTAACGTGAATTTTTCCACACTAAGTATGTCAATGATCATTCACGCACCATCTATTCTTCTCCTCCTAATGTGAGATTGGGCACGCCCTCTCCCCACCAGAGACAGAAGCTATAAGCGACCTCAAATATAGTCCCTCTCCTGATCCACTTCCTCAACACAGAAAAATTATATTATTCGCAGGATTTCTTGTTCTTTTCTGATCACCCACACAGATGAGCAGCCCTACTCTACCTAGCGTTTTCTATATTTTGCAGCCCTTGCGGCTATATTCGCTTCTGTTCACCTACTCAGGATAACCAGCGCTACTTCCAATTATTACATAACCTACTCAGGATGATCAAAACTACTACTCCACCTAGTGGCAATTTATACAGCATACAACTAGGACAAACATCTTGTTTACCGTCCTATAAATAACCGGGACAAACATCTCGTTTACCGCCCCTCACACAACTAGGACAAACATCTCGTTTACCGTCCTAGCACTCCAGAGTGAACAATTACACTAACCATCGGCTTTATACTTGGAATTTGCCCTAAATCCTATCACCAAGTCAACATATATATAGTCTCACCTCGGAATTTCTAACTATCACCTAGATGGTCTGAGTCAGTTTCCAACAGGTTTATCTATTAAGAGTTTGGTAATAAATCAATATATACCACAATGTAGGCTTCATCTCTTAAATGAACAGCATACTGTGAGTGAGGCGCCACTTACGTGTCAGAATAACTCATCAATCACACAGTGCTTTGTTCAAATTACAGACTTTAGATATAACAGGCGTCTGCTTACCTTTAGGAATTAGTTGCGCAGCACAGTAGGTCGATGCTCACTCCAACGGCGGGTAGTCACTCACTCCTGGCAAGCTCGCCAAAATTTAGAGGATTCTTTGCACAGTGCTGATATTCTCTTATTCTTAAACAAACCAAAAGCTTTAGAATATGACACAGACAATGACTTCTGAGTATATGTAAAATATCTTTAGTTATGCAATTGCAGGGAGAAGTTTCCCGAGTGGCGCAGTGGTCTAAGGCACTGCATCGCAGTGCTAGCTGTGCCACTAGAGATCCTGGTTCGAATCCAGGCTCTGTCGTAGCCGGCCGCGACCGGGAGACCCATGGGGCGGCGCTCAATTGGCCCAGCGTCATCCAGGGTAGGGGAGGGAATTGCCGGCAGGGATGTAGCTCAATTGGTATAACGTGGTGTTTGCAATGCCAGGGTTGTAGATTCCCACGGGGGACCAGTATGACATTTTTTAAAAGAATGTATGCACTCACTAACTGTAAGTCGCTCTGGATAAGAGCGTCTGCTAAATGACTAAAATGTAAATGTAGAAGTTAATACAGAATCACACAGGATTTGGATGGCTCCTCAAAAGTTCTACAAAAGTGTCTAAAGCAATCTCTGCTTTTTATACAAGTACTTTTTGAGGATCTGGGGACCCATGCCAATTCTTTTCAGTCTCCTGAGGGGGAAAAGGCGTTGTCTTGCCCTCTTCACGACTTTCTTGGTGTGTTTGGAACATGATAGTTTGTTGGTCATATGGACACGAAGGAACTTGAAACTCTCAACCCGTCCACTACAGCCCCGTCGATGTGAATGGGGGCGTGTTTGGCCCTCCTTTTCCTGTAGTCCACGGTCATCTCCTTTGTCTTGCTGGCGTTGAGGGAGAGGTTGTTGTCCTGGCACCACACTGCCAGGTCTCTGACCTCCTCCCTATAGGTTGTCTAATATTTGTTGGTGATCAGGCCTACCACCATTGTGTCGTCAGCAAACTTAATGATGGTGTTGGAGTCGTGCTTGGCCACGCAGTTGTGGGTGAACAGGGAGTACATGAGGGGACTAAGCACGCACCCCTGAGGGGCCCCCATGTTGAGGATCATCGTGGCAGACGTGTTGTTGCCTACCCTTACCACCTGGGGGCGGCCCGTCAGGAAGTCCAGGATCCAGTTGCAGAGGGAGGTGTTTAGTCCCAGGGTCCTTAGCTTAGTGATGAGCTTTCTGGGCACTATGGTGTTGAAAGCTGAGCTGTAGTCAATGAACAACATTCTCACATAGGTGTTCCTTTTGTCCAGGTGGGAAAGGGCAGTGTGGAGTGCGATTGAGATTGTGTCATCTGTGGATCTGTTGGGGCGGTATGCGAATTGGAGTGGGTCTAGGGTTTCTGGGATGATGGTGTTGATGTGAGCCATGACCTTTCAAAGCACTTCATGTCTACCGACGTGGGGGATATTTCCTGCTTTAGTTTTTGCTTGTAAGCAGGAATCAGAAGGATAGAATTATGGTCAGATTTGCCAAATGGAGGGCGAGGGAGAGCTTTGTACACGTCTCTGTGTGTGGAGTAAAGGTAGGTAGAAATTAGGTTAATTGGATTTAAGTTTGCCTGCATTAAGGTCCCCGGCCACTAGAAACGCCGCTTCTGGATGAGCATTTTCTTGTTTGCTTATGGCTTTATTCAGCTCGTTGAGTGTGGTCTTAGTGCCAGCGTTGGTTTGTGGTGATAAATAGACGGCTATGAAAAATATAGATGAAACCTCTCTTGGTAGATAGTGTGGTCTACAGCTTATCGTGAGGTACTCTAACTCAGGCGAGCAATACCTTGAGACTACCTTAATATTAGACATCGCTCACCAGCTGTTATTGACAAATAGACACACACCCCCACCCCTCGTCTTACCGGACGTAGCTGTTCTATCCTGCCGATGCACGGAAAACCCAGCCAACTGTATATTATCCCTGTCGTCATTCAGCCACGACTCTCTGAAACATAAGATATTACAGTTTTTAATGTCCCGTTGGTAGGATAGTCTCGAACGGAGCTCATCCAGTTTATTCTCCAGTGATTGCACGTTGGCCAATAGAACGGATGGTTGAGGCGGGTTAACCACATGCCGACAAATTCTCACAAGGTACCCTGATCTGCGCCCTGGTATCTCCTTCTTTTCTTCACAAATGACGGGGATTTAGGCCTTGTCCGGGAGTAACATTATATCCTTCTCGTCAGACTCATTAAAGAAAAAATCTTCGTCCAGTTCGAGGTGAGTAATCGCTGTTCTGATACCCAGAAGCTCTTTTTGGTCATAAGAGACGGTAGCATAAATGTTATGTACAAAATAAGTTACAAACAAAGCGAAAACACACAAAATAGCACAATTGGTTAGGAGCCCGTAAAACGGCAGCCATCCCCTCCGTCACCATTTTTCTGGACAATAATCAAGATGAGATAAATCAAGTTTTAGACCTCAGCTGTATCTAATAATGAATGGTGTGGCTGTTGAACAAGTTGAGGAGACTAAATTACTTGGTGTTACCTTAGATTGCAAACTGTCATGGTCAAGACATATAGATTAAATGGTTGTAAAGATGGGGAGAAGTATGTCTGTAATAAATAGATGCTGTGCTTTTTTGACACCACACTCCACAAAGCAAGTCCTGCAGGCTCTAGTTTTATCAAATCTTGATTATTGTCCAGTCATATGGTAAAGTGCTGCAAAGAAAGACCTAGTTAAGCTGCAGCTGGCCCAGAACAGAGTGGCACGTCTTGCTCTTCATTGTAATCAGAGGGCTAATATTAATACTATGCATGCCAGTCTCTCTTGGCTAAGAGTTGAGGAGAGACTGACTGCGTCACTTCTTGTTTTTATAAGAAACATTCATGTGTTGGAAATTCCAAATAGTTTGCATAGTCAACTTACACACAGCACTGACACACACACATTTACCCCACCAGACATGCCACCAGGGGTCTTTTCACAGTCCTCAGGTCCAGAACAAATTCAAGAAAACGTACAGTATTATACAGAGCCATGAGTGCATGGAACTCCCTTCCATCTTAAATAGTGCAAGTGAACAGCAAACCTTGTTCCAAAAACAAATAAAGCAACACCTCACGGCACAACGCCTCTCCCCCTTGTGACCTAGTTGTTGTGTGTATGTACTGACATATATGTGTAACTGATAGATGCACACACACACACTACATGTTAATGTTTTTAATTGTATGTAAATTGTAATGTATTTTGTCTGTAATGTCGGACCCCGGTTAGACTAACTGTCGCCACTGGCGTCGGCTAGTGGGGATCCTAATAATAAAAAATTATAAAAAACTACAAATGTGGCCATGGATGTGTTACTCATTTTAAGTTTGTAAGATAGCCTTAACTTGAGGCTATTTGCTTCATTACATAAGTAATATTGAATTGTGTTTGGTTGACAACACAACCAAATATCAACATTTAAAGTAGATGTATCTACTGCATGGATAGTTCCATCTGAGCCACTGACTTAATCCCATATTTGTACTTTTATTTTTGGTTGAATTGGAGACGTGAGTCCAACATATAATTAGTTAACTTGTCGACAAGTTAAGAGGCTATTTATTGTATTTCAAAAGTGATATTGAAAATGCTCATCCAACCAAGTATCAAAATTTGAAGGAGATGTATCTTCTGCTTGGCTAGTTTAATTCCAGTTTGTCTACAAATTAATAATTGAAATGTTGGATTCACGTATCCATCTGAACAAAAAATCTAAGTTAAAGTTAAATCAAATCAAATCAAACTTTAAATGCACTTTAAATAAAGTTTGATTTGATTTAGTCGTAGGGTGGCAGGTAGCCTAGCAGTTAAGAGCGTTGGGCCAGTAACTGAAAGGTTGCTGGTTCAAATCCTAGAGCCGACTAGGTGAAAAATCTGCCAATGTACCCTTGAGCAAGGCACTTAATCATAATTACTCATGTAAGTTGCTCTGGATAAGAGTGTCTGATAAATGTAGTCCTATTCTTTAACTTAGATTTTGGGTTGAGATGGAGATGGGAATCCAACATAATACTTATTAATTTGTAGACAAACTGGAATTAATGTCAGACACTAAATATCATACAATTTTAAATCAACCAGACCTTGAAACCCACGGCCGGCCCGCTCATTAGGCAGCAACTCCAACAACAACACATAAAACCTCACATAATTTTGCCCCAAAACAATGACAATTGCTTTCAACCAGTGGCATAAGGGCTTTTTAGGCGAGCGTTGATGCTGCCCTGTGACAAGCAGTGCTGTTGGAGAGACGCATCGCTGTGGCGCTCCACCAACATTCTGTCCAAAAAATCATCTAACATAAATCATGTAGCAAATATAGGATACTGTAGAAAGAGTATGTGGCCTTTTCTGTAGCCTACAGGCTGGAGATAATACAATGTATGACAATGTAATGAGATGGACACTTTTTACATCATGCAGGTTTCATCCGATCAAATAGCCTAACCAATCAAATAAAAAATGCGGTGTCATGTTAACAAACAACATATCTTAAAAACAGGACAGGTCAAAGTAAAATTAACAATATGGAATGGACAATCACAACTGTTGTCCAGGAGTTTTACCCCATTGTCATGATCAGTGATTTCAAGTTTGTATCTGTAAATTATTGACAAGCTGATCATAGCGAAAAAGAAAATACTTCTGCAATTTCCGCTGTGTAAACACTTTGCAAATAGGCTCACAATAACTCCTGGTAAAGTTGGGTAGCTGATATTCAGAGCTTAAATAGCCAAATTGATTAGTCACAGGAATCAGGACTAATAAAGCCAATGCAACAGCCTGTTTTACAAATGGTGGGCCAACCACATGGATGGGCATTCATAAAATTCCATTGTGGGCCAACATGGTAGGCTACACCCAAGTAAGCAAGAGCTGACGTCTTTTGGATGTCTTGTTTTGGTGTTTTATAAACGATAGGCTTACCACGTAGATGGGCATTCATAACATTAAATTTCAGGCAACACTGTAGGCTACACCTCAGTAAGCATGGGCCGACGTCGACGTCTTTTGGATGTTTATTTTGGTGCAGTTCGGTCCGGCCTTGATCTGAACCAATCATAGACGTCTAGGTTTGGTTCAGATTTTCTCCGGTCTGGACCAGCCTTTATTTGGCCCAAACATAGACGTCTATAAAATACGTCTTTGTCTCCCGAGTGGCGCAGTGGTCTAAGGCACTGCATCGCAGTGCTAGCTGTGCCACTAGAGATCCTGGTTCGCATCCAGGCTCTGTCGTAGCCGGCCGTGACCGTGAGACCCATGGGGCAGCGCACAATTGGCCCAGTGTTGTCCAGGGTAGGGGAGGGAATGGCTGGCAGGGTTGTAGCTCAGTTGGTAGAGCATGGCGTTTGCAACGCCAGGGTTGTGGGTTCGATTCCCACGGGGGGCCAGTATGAAAAATATAATGTATGCACTCACTAACTGTAAGTCGCTCTGGATAAGAGCGACTACTAAAATGTAAAATGTATTTTCAACTTTCATTCAGAATAAAAAATGAGCCTGATTTCAACATCCACAAAATACATATTATGAACGCCTGGAAAATACCTATTTTTAACATCCGGAAAATTTGTATTTTCAGAACTGAAAATGAACCTGATTTCAACGTCCGGAAAGTACGTATTTTCAACGTTCCGGAAAAAATACCTTTTCAACGTCCTGGAAACTATGTATTTTAAACATACGTAAAATAGGTATTTTCACCTTTCATTCAGAACCTAAATTGAACCTAACTTCAACGTCTGGAAAATACGTCTTTTATACGTCTTTTCAACATCATCTTGCTTACTGGGACTATTCTAGTTTTGCAGGGGCACATTTTTTGGTCTCACCTAGGGCTGCAGAATGGAAAGGGCCTATGTATTGTCAATTTTTTTTATGAATCCTGGGTTGAATTGAAACAATAGCGATTGATGACTTTGCAAATGCTATATAGGCCTAAATAGCATCATTGATGGTATGAGTGATAAAGTAAGGTCACATTTCATTTGCTTTGTTAAGCCGATCCTTTGGAATGACTTCGATAGCAACAGTGCATTTATTTAGTTTTTAAGTGGAGATCTCTCAACATTTATTCTCATGATAGCACATTGGTAATTGTCAGTGACAAGTATCATAGCTAAGAAGGGCTTGGTTAAAACCCTGGATGGGAGACCAAAAGATAGCTGTAGATAGATCAACTTAGCGTTGAAGAGCTGACGTTATTTTAAAGATACAAATTCAACATATTTTATCCAAGGTTTGTCTATGTTGAAATTTGGTTACCATGATGACATGATGTTGAAATTTCACCCTCAAAACAGCAGTTGATAATATTTTTCAAATCCAAGCTATTTTCCACTTAGATTCCACGTCACAATACATTGACAAAAATTAAGTTGAAACAATGTTGATTCAACCAGTTTGTGCTGAGATACAGAGAAACTGGTGCATTAACCAGACCTCTTCAATCACAGACCAAACTCTTTAGGTGCACTGTGTGTGTGTGTGTGTGTATGTGTGGAGGCCTTGGGGCCTTGAAATAGCCCTCTGGTGCAGTGTAGGTCTTAAAGCCCTGCCTCATAATGGCTCTGTATGAAGGTCATCCACACTGTTAGTGGAGAAGGGCTCCTAATTGACTGTCTGGTTGAGGAGCGAGAGAGAGAGAGAGAGAGAGATGGGGGTTGGAAGAGAGAGAGAAGTCAGAGAGAGAGAGAGAGAGGGAGAGAGAGAGAGAGAGAGAGAGAGAGAGAGAGAGAGAGAGAGAGAGAGAGAGAGAGAGAGAGAGAGAGAGAGAGAGAGAGCAAGGGAAGACAGGAAAAAAAGGATAGAAAGAGTCACACAGACTTTCGACCAGGCCCAGCCCAGGCCAGGGGTCTCACTCCAAGGGTATTGTTTACTAAGCGTTTGCTCTCTAGCATTTCCGATTCAGACACATTTTATAGTTCTGCAATAGCTGTTCAGAGACGAAGGGAGGCATGATTGACTCCAACGAGAAAACACTGCAGCTTTTCTTTTTCCTGCTTTCTTTCATTGTCTCTAACCATTCCCACCCCTCTCTCTTTCAAATCAAATCAAATCAAATGTTATTGGTCACATGCGCCGAATACAACAGGTGCAGACATTACAGTGAAATGCTTACTTACAGCCCTTAACCAACAGTGCATTTATTTTAACAAAAAAAGTAAAAATAAAACAACAACAAAAAAAGTGTTGAGAAAAAAAGAGCAGAAGTAAAATAAAATAACAGTAGGGAGGCTATATATACAGGGGGGTACCGGTGCAGAGTCAATGTGCGGGGGCACCGGCTAGTTGAGATAATTGAAGTAATATGTACATGTGGGTAGAGTTAAAGTGACTATGCATAAATAATTAACAGAGTAGCAGCAGTGTAAAAAGGATGGGGTGGGGGGGCAGTGCGAATAGTCCGGGTAGCCATGATTAGCTGTTCAGGAGTCTTATGGCTTGGGGGTAAAAGCTGTTGAGAAGTCTTTTGGACCTAGACTTGGCACTCCGGTACCGCTTGCCGTGCGGTAGCAGGGAGAACAGTCTATGACTAGGGTGGCTGGAGTCTTTGACAATTTTGAGGGCCTTCCTCTGACACCGCCTGGTATAGAGGTCCTGGATGGCAGGAAGCTTGGCCCCAGTGATGTACTGGGCCGTACGCACTACCCTCTGTAGTGCCTTGCAGTCGGAGGACAAGCAGTTGCCATACCAGGCGGTGATGCAACCAGTCAGGATGCTCTCGATGGTGCAGCTGTAGAATTTTTTGAGGATCTGAGGACCCATGCCAAATCTTTTCAGTCTCCTGAGGGGGAATAGGCTTTGTCGTGACCTCTTCACGACTGTCTTGGTGTGTTTGGACCATGATAGTTCATTGGTGATGTGGACACCAAGGAACTTGAAGCTCTCAACCTGTTCCACTACAGCCCCGTCGATGAGAATGGGGGCGTGCTCAGTCCTCTTTTTTTTCCTGTAGTCCACAATCATCTCCTTTGTCTTGGTCACGTTGAGGGAGAGGTTGTTGTCCTGGCACCACACGGCCAGGTCTCTGACCTCCTCCCTATAGGCTGTCTCATCGTTGTCTGTGATCAGGCCTACCACTGTTGTGTCGTCTGCAAACTTAATGATGGTGTTGGAGTCGTGCCTGGCCATGCAGTCATGGGTGAACAGAGAGTACAGGAGGGGACTGAGCACGCACCCCTGAGGGGCCCCCGTGTTGAGGATCAGTGTGGCAGATGTGTTGTTACCTACCCTTACCACCTGGGGGCGGCCCGTCAGGAAGTCCAGGATCCAGTTGCAGAGGGAGGTGTTTAGTCCCAGGATCCTTAGCTTAGTGATGAGCTTAGAGGGCACTATGGGGTTGAATGCTGAGCTGTAGTCAATGAATAGCATTCTCACGTAGGTGTTCCTCTTGTCCAGGTGGGAAAGGGCAGTGTGGAGTGCAATAGAGATTGCATCATCTGTGGATCTGTTGGGGCGGTATGCAAATTGGAGTGGGTCTAGGGTTTCTGGGATAATGCTGTTGATGTGAGCCATGACCAGCCTTTCAAAGCACTTCATGGCTACAGACGTCAGTGCTACGGGTCGGTAGTCATTTAGGCAGGTTATCTTAGAGTCCTTGGGCACGGGGACTATGGTGGTCTGCTTGAAACATGTTGGTATTACAGACTCAGTCAGGGACATGTTGAAAATGTCAGTGAAGACACTTGCCAGTTGGTCAGCACATGCTCGGAGTACACGTCCTGGTAATCCGTCTGGCCCTGCGGCCTTGTGAATGTTGACCTGCTTAAAAGTCTTACTCACATCGGCTACGGAGAGCGTGATCACATAGTCATCCGGAACAGCTGGTGCTCTCATGCATGCTTCAGTGTTGCTTGCCTCGAAGCGAGCATAGAAGTGGTTTAGCTCGTCTGGTAGGCTTGTGTCACTGGGCAGCTCGCGGCAGTGCTTCCCTTTGTAGTCTGTAATAGTTTTCAAGCCCTGCCACATCCGACGAGCGTCAGAGCCAGTGTAGTACGATTCAATCTTAGCCCTGTATTGACTCTTTGCCTGTTTGATGGTTCGTCGGAGGGCATAGCGGGATTTCTTATAACCGTCCGGGTTAGAGTCCCGTTCCTTGAAGGCGGCAGCTCTACCCTTTAGCTCAGTGCGGATGTTTCCTGTAATCCATGGCTTCTGGTTGGGGTATGTACGTACGGTCACTGTGGGGACGACATCATCGATGCACTTATTGATGAAGCCAGTGACCGATGTGGTGTACTCCTCAATGCTGTCTGAAGAATCCCGGAACATGTTCCAGTCTGTGCTAGCAAAACAGTCCTGTAGCTTAGCATCTGCGTCATCTGACCACTTTTTTATTAACCGAGTCACTGGTGCTTCCTGCTTTAGTTTTTGCTAATAAGCAGGAATCAGGAGGATAGAGTTATGGTCAGATTTGCCAAATGGAGGGCGAGGGAGAGCTTTGTATGCGTCTCTGTGTGTGGAGTAAAGGTGGTCTAGAGTTTTTTTTCCTCTGGTTGCACATTTAACATGCTGGTAGAAATTAGGTAGAACGGATTTAAGTTTCCCTGCATTAAAGTCCCCGGCCACTAGGAGCGCTGCATCTGGATGAGCGTTTTCCTGTTGATTTATGGCCTTGTACAACTCATTCAGTGCAATCTTAATGCCAGCATTGGTTTGTGGTGGTAAATAGACAGCTATGAAAAATATAGATGAAAACTCTCTTGGTAAATAGTGTGGTCTACAGCTTATCATAAGATACTCTACCTCAGGCGAGCAAAACCTAGAGACTTCCTTAGTATTTGATTTTGTGCACCAGCTGTTGTTTACAAATATACACAGACCGCCACCCCTTGTCTTACCGGAGTCAGCCGTTCTATCCTGCCGATGTAGGGTATAGCCCGCTAGCTGTATGTTATCATTGTCGTCGTTCAGCCACGACTTGGTGAAACATTGGATATTACAGTTTTTAATGTCCCGTTGGTAGGATAACCGTAATCTTAGGTCATCCAATTTGTTATCCAGTGATTGAAGATTGGCTAATAGGATTGATGGAAGAGGCAGTTTACTCGCTCGCCGTCGGATCCTTACAAGGCACCCCGATCTACGTCCACGATATCTCCGTCTCTTCCTCACGCGAATGACGGGGATTTGGGCCTTGTCGGGTGTCTGCATGATATCCTTTGCCGCCGCCTCGTTGAAGAAAAAATCTTCGTCCAATACGAGGTGAGTAATCGCTGTCCTGATATCCAGAAGCTCTTTTTGGTTATAAAAGACGATGGCAGAAACATTATGTACAAAATAAATTACAAATAACGCGGAAAAGCACACATAATAGTACAAATGGTTAGAGGGCTGTAAAACGGCAGCCATCTTCTCCGGCGCTGTTCAGACAGGGGGATGTTACCTCCCACTATGTACCCCTTTTATCTCTTACTCTTACTCTTTTTATCCCATGTCCTCTTCATTACATCCCCCTCTCTGTGTCTCACTGCTATTAAGGGATTGTGATGGTGAGATATTATTGTGAGGTAGTATAATCTCTATAGTATTCTCTCTGCAGTTTAGTCATGCTTAGCTGGCTCATTTAAACCCACTCGACTGAGGAGAACAGAGAGGAGGAGGAAGAGGATGAGGAGGAGAGAGCCGGAGACTACGGTTGAGTCTGCCTCCCTACAAAACACTCCGACACACTTCAAATCTCTCCTTCTCTCCTCCTGTCTTCACTCCATCAATCCTCCTCGCCCTCCATCTATCTTCTCTGTGTTCTGTTGAAGGTTTGACTCAGGGTTAGTGGATAGACACAGCAGGGGTCAGGAGAGCATGATTGGAGGTTTATGTGTCTGTGTGTGCGTGTGTCTGTGTGTGTATTAATCAACACAATGGGGTGATAAATTGGCTGAGCTGGATCCTGAGGTCAACTAATTAAAGCATCCAGGGACAGAGCACCAACGCTGTGTGTGTGTCTGTGTGTGTCTTTGTGTGTGTGTGAAATGTATGGGTTAAACTGAAAAAACTAACAGACACAAACCAGCTCACAGTCTGATGTCAAGTGTTCTGTCCACCCTGGCCTGCCCCCTCATGTCAGTAGGCTGGTGAAGACTGCGGGCTGCAGGCAGGCAGGAGGCAGGATACTAATACAAGTGTCTGCCTCCTGATAATGGACTGCTTTGTTCCCTGACAGGCCTCCTATCTCTCTCTGTGTGTGTGCGTGCGTGTGTGTGTGTGTGCGTGCCTGCGTTCGTGCGTGCATGTGTGTGTAAAACTGGCATTTTCTCAAATGAATCAGAATCAAAATAGACTGAACCAAAATATAAACGCAAAATGTAAAGTGTTCGTCCCATGTTTCATGAGCTGAAATAAAAGATCCAAGAAATGTTCCATATGCACAGAAAGCTTATTTCGCTAAAATTTTGTGCACAAATTTGTTTACATCCCTGTTAGTGAGCATTTCTCCTTTGCCAATATAATCCATCCACCTGACAGGTGTGGCATAACAAGAAGCCGATTAAACAGCATGATTATTACACAGGTGCACCTTGTGCTGGGGACAATAAAAGGCCACTCTAAAATGTGCAGTTTTGTCACACAACACAATACCATAGATGTATCAAGTTTTGAGGGAGAGTGCAATTGGCATGCTGACTGCAGGAATGTCCACCAGAGCTGTTGCCAGATAATTTAATGTAATTGTTCATACCATAAGCCGCCTCCAACGTCGTTTTAGAGAATTTGGCAGTAAGTCCAACCGGCCTCACAACCCCAGACCACATGTATCCACACCAGCCCAGGACCTCCACATCCGGCTTCTTCACCTGTGGGATGGTCTGAGACCAGCCTCCCAGACAGCTGATGAAACTCTGGGTTTGCACAACCGAAGAATTTCTGCACAAACTGTCAGAAACTGTCTATGGGAAGCTCATCTGAGTGCTCGACGTCCTCACCAGGGTCTTGACCTCACTGCAGTTCGGCGTGGTAACTGTCTTCAGTGGGCAAATACTCACCTTCGGTGGCCACTGGCATGCTGGAGAAGTGTGCTCTTCACGGATGAATCCCAGTTTCAACTGTTCCGGGCAGATGGCGTCGTGTGGGCGAACGGTTTGGTGATGTCAACGTTGTGAACAGAGTGCCCCATGGTGGCGGTGGGGTTATGGTATTGGTAGGCATAAACTACGGACAACGAACATAATTCAATTTTATCGATGGCAATTTGAATGCACAGAGATACCGTGACGAGATCCTGAGGCCCATTGTCATGCCATTCATCCACTGCAATTCCCTTATGTTTTAGCATGATAATGCACAGCCCAATGTTGCAAGGATCTGTACACAATTCCTGGAAGCTGAAAATGTCCCAGTTCTTCCATGGCCTGCATACTCACCAGACTGCTCACTCATCACCCATTGAGCATGTTTGGGATGCTCTCAATTGACATGTATGACAGCGTGTTCAAGTTCCTGCCAATATCCATCAACTTCGCACAGCCATTGAAGAGGAGTGGGACAACATTCCCCAGGCCACAATCAACAGCCTGATCAACTCTATGACAAATGGTGGTCACACCAGAGACTGTCTGATTTTGTGATCCATGCCCCTACCTTTTTTTAAGGTATCTGTGACCAACAGATGCATATCTGTATTCCCCATCATGTGAAATCCATAGATTAGGGCCAAACATCAACCTCAGGGGATTCCCTGAATCTTGGGGGAATCCCCAAAGAACCCCTGGAATGTACCCAATGTTCCAGTTCCGGAATTACTCAGCTGTTTCTCTCTGCTGTCTGCCTTCTCTCCTCTTCTCCTCTCCTTCTCTCCTCTTCTCCTCTCCTCTTATCCTCTCATCCGTGCTGAGAGTGTAGTGGCAAGGAGCGTAGCATGGACGGGGAATTATGCTTACACATAAGAGCTAATTACCATAGAGACAAACCCACCACGCCTCTCCCCGCTTGACGCTTCCTGCTCTCATCTCGTCTGGTGGAGATAGCAGCGGCAGCAGCAGCTAAAGTTGAGAAGTATTCCCTCTGGGTTGGAGGCAGAGCTGCACACTGTACCGTACCGTTGGAGAGGAGAGAAAAGATAGACAGTCTGCAGAAATATCTCTCTAAAGTCTATGATTAGTTTCTATTTCAATTAGACTAAATGCAGCTTTATTTGATGAATACTTACTACGCAGTCGTTTGTTATGGAAGTCAACTTCTTTTACAGCAGTTCCGGGAAACTGTGTTTGTGTGTCTGTGTATGAATCACATTGGTTAGATGTGAGGGTAAGGGTTAAAGACTGGGGTGTCACTGAGGGAACGTCTCAAGTGACACCCTATTTTGCCCCAGGAAAAAGGAACATGGTGTATCATTTGGGATGCAGTCTGAGGTTCTACTACACCCTGACCCCTGGTTGAACCCTACTATGCCCTCCCCTCTCCTCCTATCCACTCTTCCCTCCTCCCCACCCCAACCTCCCCTCTTCCCAACCATTTATGACTGATACCAGCCCAGCTGTGCTGAGTCATAAAGTCAATTAGGTGTTGTTAGCTGATACCATCTCCCTGGACTGTTTCTACATGTGTGTGTCATGTGTGTGATATATGCCTCTAGCTTTGTGTATATGCTGCCCTCTGACTCTAAATGATAGTGTTAAGAGCACAGCCCTAAAGCGATTATTATAGTGTCATTATAGACTACAGGTCGTTTGTTAGTTACTTAAGTGTATATCTCATTGAGCGTAGTATTAAGGGTATTCTTCTGACTCGGTTTAGAATTGTTTAACAACAATAACAATTTCAGAGTACAATAACAACAATAACAATTTCTCAGTCTGTAGCTACTCTTAATTTGATAGTGCTGCCAGTGTAGAGTGTATGATGTCCCATAGTTTCTGTTATAGACTCTACTGTCTGTTGTCACCAATAATGAAGAAGTGTCTCTCACCGTCCTGTCTGTATGTCTCGATAAGGCCCTCTACCTTCAGCCTATCTGTCCCATCACCTCCACGAGACCAAGGGAACACAGAAGAGAGGAAAACAGAGAGGGGCTCTGGGCTCTGGGCTTCCCGGCAATGATGGGGCACAGCGTCTGTGAACGATCGCCTCTCCCCACAAACAAACATTAGCATTTTTATTAGCATATCTAGACGCTGGCTGAGTGCAGTGGATTATTTACTGCCCCCCCCCCACCCCACTTGGGACTGGAAGAGAGATCACGCTTGCTTCTTGTGGAAAAACAACCTTATCTGATAGTTTATAGGTCAGTGTTGTGGTATAAAATGCTCACTTATCAAACGCTGTGGTCAGAACATAGTATCGTTGAAGTTCAGTTACTGTTGAGGCTTCCATAGTGAAGTTCAGTTATTGTTGAGGCTTCCATTGTGAGGTTCAGTTAGTGTTGAGGCTTCCATAGTGAGGCTCAGTTAGTGTTGAGGCTTCCATAGTGAGGTTCAGTTAGTGTTGAGGCGTCCATAGTGAGGTTCAGTTAGTGTTGAGGCTTCCATAGTGAGGTTCAGTTAGTGTTGAGGCTTCCATAGTGAGGTTCAGTTAGTGTTGAGGCTTCCATAGTGAGGTTCAGTTAGTGTTGAGGCGTCCATAGTGAGGTTCAGTTAGTGTTGAGGCTTCCATAGTGAGGTTCAGTTAGTGTTGAGGCTTCCATAGTGAGGTTCAGTTAGTGTTGAGGCGTCCATAGTGAGGTTCAGTTAGTGTTGAGGCTTCCATAGTGAGGTTCAGTTAGTGTTGAGGCTTCCATAGTGAGGTTCAGTTAGTGTTGAGGCTTCCATAGTGAGGTTCAGTTAGTGTTGAGGCGTCCATAGTGAGGTTCAGTTAGTGTTTAGGCTTCCATAGTGAGGTTCAGTTAGTGTTTAGGCTTCCATAGTGAGGTTCAGTTAGTGTTGTAACTTCATGGCTGCCTGTGTGTTCTTTATTAGGTTTGTCTGTCTGCAGGTCCCCAGGCAAATCAGATCGATTGGATCTCTGACCCTTCAGTTGTTTATCAATGACTGGGAAATGACAGGCCTGGTTAAATCACATCACTCTTTCTGCTCTGGACTCTACTAAAACAGTCAGACATGCAGTGATACTGATACAGTTACTGTGTGTGAGACACACCGGCTTCTCTGTGTGTGTGTGTGTGTGTGTGTGTGTGTGTGTGTGTGTGTGTGTGTGTGTGTGTGTCCTCCCTAGTCAGCAGTTTGCCTGAAAAGCCATTTTGGTCCAGATGGTTCAGATCATTTTCAAGTGCTGCAAAATCTGCCCTTGAGCAAGGCACTGAACCCTAATTGCTCCTGTAAGTTGCTCTGGATAAGAGCATCTAAATGACAAAAAAAGAAAAAAAAGAAGTGTCACTTAAAAAGCTAACGCTATATAAAATTAATATTTTTTCTCTCTCCTTCTTTTATCCAACCTTCTAATTCTCTCCCTCCCCCTCTTCTCTCTCCCGCTCTCTATTTCTATCTTCCATTCTCTTTTTTATTTTGATCTCGCTCCTCTCCCTCTCCCCCCTCTCTGCAGGCAGCATAGTGTACCTGGGGATGATGGTGGGGGCATTCTTCTGGGGGGGTCTGTCGGACAAGGTGGGCCGTAAACAGTGTCTGCTTATCGCTATGTCTGTCAACGGCTTCTTCTCCTTCCTCTCCTCCTTCGTCCAGGGGTACGGCATGTTTCTCTTCTGCCGCATGCTCTCCGGCTTCGGGTGAGTGTTGTCCGTTTTGTTCTGTTCTATTATATTATATTATATTCTACTCTACTCTATTCTAAAATACTCTAACCTTCTCTTCTCTATTGTACTCTACTCTGTTGTGTTCTTTTCTATTAAATTCTACTATACTATACTACACACTTTTATTCTTTTCTTTTCTATTCTACTCTACTCTATTCTACTCTATTATAGTCCTTTGTAATATGGCTTCCCACTGTCTTGAAGAACAGTTCATTTCCCTTTGCTCTTCCAGAACACCATTAAGTTCTACAGACAGCCCTGTTCTTGAACGCTCTGCTCCACTAAAAGTCTTCCATGATGACATTGTGTTCTACTTGGTTGAGAGTTAGTGGTCTCCCACTCTTACTCTCTGTCGCTCTGTCTCTTATCTCTCTCTCTCTCTCACTCTCTCTCTCTCTCTCTCTCTCTCTCTCTCTCTCTCTCTCTCTCTCTCTCTCTCTCTCTCTCTCTCTCTCTCTCTCTCTCCTCTCTCTCTCTCTCTCTCTCTCTCCTCTCTCTCTCTCTCTTTCTCTCTCTCTCTCTCCCTCCCTATACACTCTTAGAAAAAAAGGTGCTATCTGGAACCCTTTGGAGAACCCTTTGAAGAACCCTTTTTGGTTCCAGGTAGAACTATTTTGAGGTCCATGTAGAACCCTTTCCACAGAGATTTCTACATGGAACCAAAAATAGTTCTAACTGGAACCAAAAAGGGTTCTCCTATGGGAACAGCCGCAGAACCCTTTTGGAACCCTTTTTTCTAAGAGTGTAATCCTCCAAAGTCAGAGAACAGGACAGGAGGTTATTCTAACTGTCTGGCATCAGCCCATCCCCTGAGTGGGAGAGAGAAAGAACAGAGAAAAACACAAACGTTAGCTAAACATTCGCAGCAGACTAAATGTCCTTACATTTCTGTTTTATGAATGATTAAAAGTCTGTTTGTAGGTCACAAGATGTTTCAGGCTTTGACAGTGGAAAGAAAATGTAAATTAGTAAATTAAACAAGAAAATAGGTAGAGACATTGATACTAGGTACAGACTTTTGCTAAATAAAAAAAGGTCTGCAAAAAGATGAATAACCAGATGATAAATAGAGACTTTGACAGAATAAATGCCCTTACCTCTTACCTAATACACTCTCTGCATGATTAGCTGGTGATTGTTGCACATGATTATTCATAGCCTGACCTGGCTCTCCGGTGGGTTTACAGTAAAAGTAAATGTAATTGAATCTGAGACAGCCTGTTTTGACCTCAGGGGATTCATAAATCACTGGACTGTTTCTAAAGCAGGGTTTCACTTGGACAGAGCAACACAATAGATTTACACTCAGCTGTGGTAGTACTGTGTGTGTGTGTGTGTGTGTGTGTGTGTGTGTGTGTGTGTGTGTGTGTGTGTGTGTGTGTGTGTGTGTGTGTGTGTGTGTGTGTGTGTGTGTGTGCGTATGTGCATGTGTGCGTGTGTGCGTCAAATCAAATCAAATCAAATGTTATTTGCCAAACGCTCCGAATACAACAGGTGTAGACCTTACAGTGAAATGCTTACTTACAAGCCCTTAACCAACAATGCAGTTAAAAAATAAATTTGTAAAAGTGTTAAGTAAAAAATAGATAAGTAAAAAATAGAAAATAGCAAATAATTAAAGAGCAGCAGTAAAATAAAATAACAGTAGGGAGGCTATATACAGGGGGTACCGGTACAGAGTCAATGTGCGGGGGCACCGGTTAGTCGAGGTAATTGAAGTAATATGTACGTGTGTGTGTGTGAGTGTGCGTGTGTGAGTGTATGTGCGCGCGTGTGTGTGTAAGCATGTGTGTGTGGTGTGTTCGCGCGTGTTCGTGCGTGTGTATCATAGACTTCACCTTACTGCAGCTCGACTCTACCAGTCATACTTATTGCCAGCATACTCTATCTAATACAATACCTGTCTTACTTTTATTTCCATGTCGATTTAAAGAATCTTCTCTCCTTCTCTCCTCATCTCTTTAATAGCCACCAGCTGGTGGTTTCCGCTGCTTGTCAGAGGAATGATATCTACTACCATTTGCATAGAATTGCTACACTTACAGGTAGCTTATACTCACTTCCACTCTATTCTCAATAAGTAACTTTTAGGTTTCCCAGACAAGTCTCCATTTTATTCCCTTCCCAAACAAACCCATCAATAGAGACCCTAACAACAAAAGCAGCAGAAATAGATGGATAAACAGTCAGTGATGGAAAAAGTACCCAATTGTCATACTTGAGGAAAAATCTATATATACCTTAATAGAAAATGACTCAAGTAAAAGTGAAAGTCACCCAGTAAAATACTACTTGAGTAAAAGTATAAAAGTATTTGGTTTTAAATATAGTATCAAAAGTAAATGTAATTGCAAAAATATACTTAAGTATCAAAAGTCAAAGTCAAAGTATAAATCATTTCAAATTCCTTATATTAAGCAAACCAGACGGCACCGTTTTTTTCTTTCTTTCTTTTTTCGGATAGCCAGTGGCACACTCCAACACTCAGACATAATTTATAAACAAAGCATTTGTGTTTATTGAGTCCGCCAGATCAGAGGCAGTAGGGATTACCAGGGATGTTCTCTTGATAAGTGTGTGAATTGGACCATTTTCCTGCATTCAAAATGTAACGAGTACTTTTGGGTGTCAGGGAAAATGTATGGAGTAAAAAGTACATCATTTTCTTTAGGAATGTAGTGAAGTAAAAGTAAAAGTTGTCAAAAATGTAAACAGTAAAGTGTACAGATACCCCAAAAAACAACTTAAGTAGTACTTTAAAGTATTTTTACTTAAGTACTTTACACCACTGTGGATAAATAATAATATATAAATAGTTTGATGTCTGTCGTACTGTGTTGCCAATGGGACCAGATGAAAGGCTGTTTGGCTGCTGACTGCTGGTTCCTCTGGTGGCCTATTGATTTGATCATCCACCAGATCTCTCTCTCTCTCTCTCTCTCTGTCTCTGTCTCTGTCTCTGTCTCTGGTCTTCTGTCTCTCTCTCTCTCTCTCTATCTCTCCTACTCTCTCTATCATCTCATTATTTCTCCTCTCTCTACTATCTCTGTCTCTCTGTCTCTCTGTCTCTCTCTCTCTCTCTCCTCTCTCTCTCTCTCTCTCGCTCTCTCGTCTCTCTGTTTCCTCTGTCTCATTGTCCTCTCGCTCCTCTCTCTCTCTCTCTCTCTTGTCTCGGTCTCTGTCTATGTCTCTGTCTCTCTCTCTTCTCTCTCTCTCTCTCTCTCTCTCTCTCTCTCTCTCTCTCTCTCTCTCTCTCTCTCTCTCTCTCTCTCTCTCTCTCGCAACAAAAAAAACATGTATGCACTCACTAACTGTAAGTCGCTCTGGACAAGAGCGTCTGCTAAATGACTAAAATGTAAATGTAAAAATGTTCTGTCTTTCTGTTTCTCTCTCCAGACTTAGTCCCATTACGTTAGATGACAGCAGCCATGTTATTTCCTGAACTGCTCACACAAACTCACATACAACACCAATGACCAGACATATAGTGCTGACTATATTTCCCATGTCTCCATGCAGGATTGGTGGGGCGGTGCCCATCGTGTTCCCTTACTTTGCTGAGTTCCTGGCAAGGGAGAAGAGAGGAGAGCACCTGAGCTGGCTCTGCATGTTCTGGATGATAGGAGGGATCTACGCCTCGGCCATGGCCTGGCTCATCATACCACACTACGGTGAGTGACTGACAGCCCTGTCCTTCTATCAGGTGCAGGATTATCTGAGTGACACACCTAGTTCACCAATAATAACCATTCTACGGCAAGTTACAACATTTGTCACACGTGATTGACATTAGTATCCTAGAATGGACAAGTATATTTAACAGCAACCAGAGCGAGAGAAGAGGGAAGAAAGGGAGAAAGAGAGGGGATTTGTGTCACGCCCTGGCTCTGGGGACTCTTAAATGTTGAGCCAGGGTGTGGACTTTCTATGTGTGATTTTCTATGTTTTGTTCTAGTTCGTGTTTTCTATGTTGGCCAGGGTGGTTCCTAATCAGAGGCAGCTGATTCTCGTTGTCTCTGATTGGGAACCATACTTAGGCAGCCTGTTAGCACTAGTTATTTGTGGGATCTTGTTCTGTATAGGTTTGTGTTGGTGAACCTTTAGACTTCACGTATCGTTTTGTTGTTTTGTTGTTGGTATAAAGTACTCATTAAAAGATGTACGCCTATCACGCTGCGCCTTGGTCCGGTTCCTATAACGATCGTGACAGAAGATCCCACCAAAATAGGACCAAGCAGCGTGTGCAGGAGCAAACGCCGGGTATGGAAGACGAGGTTACTCTGGTAGATGTCCTCCTCGGTTGGGGGAGAATCACAGAGGAGGAGGCCGTCCGCTACCGGAGGGCGATGAGGGAGGATGCCCAGGCAGGAGAGGAGAAGCGGCGCCAACCGGGTCGTCGTCGGACATGCGAGAGGCAACCCCAATAAATTTTTTTGGGGGGGCACACGGCATGGACGACGGGGATGCTGGAGGCAGCTACAGGACGTATCGGCAGATTAGGAGAGGAGGCCACCAGGTTTGGGGGGCTGGAAGGGAGGTTGGCGGAGCCTAGAGGTAGAGCAGAGCCAACTCCCCGTACTCAGGCTAGGCAGCGTGAGACTGGGCAGGTTCCGAGTTATGCGGAGCTGCGTACTGTGCCGCGAGTGGTCCGGCACAGTCCTGTACGTCCTGTGCTAGCACCACATACGTGTCGTGCTAAGGTGGGCATGCAGCCAGGACGGAGTGTGCCGGCTCAACGCTCGTGGCCTCCAGTACCCCTCCTCGGTCCCGGATATCCTGCGCCAGTGCCACATGCGGCACAGCCCTGTACGTCCTGTGCTGATGCCTCACACAGAGTGTGTAGAAATAGGCATTCAGCCAGGACGGGTTGTGTCAGCTCTTTGCTCCAGACCTCCAGTCCGTCTCCACAGTCCAGTCCGGCCTGTTCCTGCTCCCCGCACCAAGCCAGTGGTGCACGTCGTCAGCCCGGTCCAGCCCGTTCCTGCTCCCCGCACCAAGCCAGTGGTGTGCGTCGCCAGCCCGGTCCGGCCCGTTCCTGCTCCCCGCACCAAGCCTGTGGTGCGCGTCGCCAGCCCGGTCCGGCCCGTTCCTGCTCCCCGCACCAAGCCAGTGGTGCGCGTCGACAGCCCGGTCCGGCCTGTTCCTGCTCCCCGCACCAAGCCAGTGGTGCGCGTCACCAGCCCGGTCCGGCCTGTTCCTGCTCCCCGCACCAAGCCAGTGGTGCGCGTCGTCAGCCCGGTCCGGCCTGTTCCTGCTCCCCGCACCAAGCCAGTGGTGCGCGTCGTCAGCCCGGTCCGGCCCGTTCCTGCTCCCCGCACCAAGCCAGTGGTGCGTGTCATCAGTCCGGCACAGCCCGTGCCTGCTCCACCGGTGCCTGGTCAGGCACCGGTCAGCTGCTCCACACCGGAGCCTGAGCAATCCGCTCCACCGGTGTCCAGTCCAGCTCCGGCCAGCGGGGCCAGACCAGACCAGGGGCGCTACGGGGGGGGGTAGCGAGAGAGTGGTGGTCACGCCCGGAGCCGGATCCGCCTCCGAGGCGGAATGCCCACCCGGCCCCTCCCCTGTTGTGTTTGGTTGGCGCGGTCGCAGTCCGCGCCTTTGGGCGGGGGTACTGTCACGCCCTGGCTCTGGGGACTCTTAAATGTTGAGCCAGGGTGTGGACTTTCTATGTGTGATTTTCTATGTTTTGTTCTAGTTCGTGTTTTCTATGTTGGCCAGGGTGGTTCCCAATCAGAGGCAGCTGATTCTCGTTGTCTCTGATTGGGAACCATACTTAGGCAGCCTGTTAGCACTAGTTATTTGTGGGATCTTGTTCTGTATAGGTTTGTGTTGGTGAATCTTTAGACTTCACGTATTGTTTTGTTGTTTTGTTGTTGGTATAAAGTACTCATTAAAAGATGTACGCCTATCACGCTGCGCCTTGGTCCGGTTCCTATAACGATCGTGACAATTTGAGAAAGAAAGGACAGAATAGAGCAGAGGGCCAACAGTTAGAAGAGAGGAGAGATGGATAGGAATGATAAGAGGAAAAGGAAGGAAAGAGGAGAGAGAGAGAGAGAGAGAGAGAGAGAGAGAGAGAGAGAGGAGAGAGAGGAGGAGAGAGAGAGAGAGGAGAGAGAGAGAGGAGAGAGAGAGAGAGAGAGAAAGGACAAAGGAGAAAGAGAGACTGGTGAAGAGAGAGAAAAGGAGAGCAAATGAAGAGGAAAGACGAAGGTGGGGGGGTTGATTGAAGAGGTGTGGTGTATGCATGGTAGTGTATGCAATGTGGTAGGTGTGGGTGTAGGCAGGTGTTGAATTATCAGTGAAGTCATTGATTTACCATAAAAGACTGTTGCGTGCAGAAGATAAAAAAGCACTCGTTATAAAACACATCTTCACACACACACACACACACACACACACACACACACACACACACACACACACACACACACACACACACACACAGCACACACCGTTAACACCTTTGTCTCTCTGTGTGGAGCAGCCGTGCATGTGTGACGCAGCCGTGTGTGTGTGAAGCAGCCATGCGTGTGTAATAGGTTCCGCCGCAGTGGACTCGTCATTGACTGCTGCTGGCCAGAGGCTGCAGGACTCCTCCTCCTGGAAAACCTCAGTGTCTGTGTGTGAATGTGTGTTTGCATGTGTGTGTTTGCATGTGTGTTTGCTGAGTTAAGTTGAGGGGCGTGGCATAACCTCACAGCTGTAATGTTTTGTGTGTGAAGTGTGTCTGTGTAGCGCTGCGCATGTCTGTGGTTACTGTATACTGTACACTCCAATTGCAAATAAAAATCTAATCAAAGTTTATTTGTCATGTACACAGATTAGCAGATGTTAAAGGAGTAGTTCACTATTTTACAACATGATGTTAGATGGTTCCTGACCCTGAAAGTAGTCTATGGGCCAGGAGAAACTGTAATTCATGGTTCAGTTTTCTCTGAACAGCCATTGCAAACTTCAGCTAACTTTAGCCAACGCTAGCTAAAATTCAATGGAAGTGATGGTGGGCATGTTATCTTAAAAAAATATATAATGTCCAAATCACCTGAAATCAACTCCATATTTGGTTTGATTATACTTAAAGGTGATTTAGCCTTTTTATTTTTTTACATGCTCACATGCGCCCATCACTTCCATAGATTTCTAGCTAGTGGTGGCTAAAGTTAGCTGAAGTTTGTAATGGCTGTTTAAAGAAAACTGAACCAGGCGCAAAAACTGAAACCCGACCCCAATATTAGAAACAGGTCAATTTGACCCCCCCAATAATATAACATCATGAGTTTGATTGGGGTCGGCTACTGGTTTTATGTGGCTTTGCACCACAGTGACTCAGTTTCTAATTTTATGAGGAGGCAGCCAGCCCGATGTATTGCTTTGGTCTGCAGTAACAGTTCAACAGCATGCACTACGCTCTCTCTCTTTCTCTTTGTGGTGTTTGCTGAGCTATATTCACGAGCGTTCCAATGTATAAATGTTTGGAGAGTTTCAAACAACTAAAAGTTCATGAACATTTCATAAATGTATTCCTATGTTATTGTGTAACTAGCGAACTATTGGTGATGAGATAATATTGTGTGAAAAATAGTTTTATACCGAGTGACGCAATGCTAAGTTGGCTATTTTAGCTAGGCTAACGTTAGCTAGCTAGCTAAGCTAGCACCAAAGCACAGATAGACGAATGAGCCAGATGTTTCACTGGATGTATAAATCAGAAGCATCCAGCTGGCATTTCCACCAAATTTGGTGATGAGAGGAAGCCCAGTGGCCAGCAGTGGGAGAAGATGGAGCGAGATGGATTTTGGCTGACATTCTGCTAATTTTCTCATCAACTAAACATTTGATCTCAGTACAGTTTTCTGTTCCCAAAACTAAAATCTATTATGAACAGAGTGGCCTAAGTTTTGTAGACTTTACCCTTTGCCAAAGTTTCTCAAAATTGCATTGTTTAGAAGTGCAAGGGCGAATTGAGTTATTGCCCACGCGCACATCACAGAGTAGGTGTTCCCTGACAAAAATATGTGAATACATGCTAGAATGTGGCAATATGATCTCGCTAGCTCGTGCTTGGCTCTGCCCACCTCCTTGCTTGTTCTGCCCACTATGATTAATTTGCTCCCATTAGAAATGACAGGCTGTGGTCTATCTTGGGTTAGTTGTAAAGATATTTGACCAAAGCCAGCACAGTATCTGGATCTTCCTATTTTTCTTTTCAACTGCAGTTTCAGATGAGCAGCACGCAATGGGTCAGTGTTCACCCTAGTGAAAAAGTAGCTAGTGCCCTTAATGCCAAAGAGGAGAAAAGTGCAGGACAAAGATGATTTTGGTGGGAGTGCAGAGGACTGTAAGCTAGCTAGCTAACTACACTGTACAATTCATAATAGACAGGTACTATGTAGTCAGCTTGCTAGCTATAGCTATTGCCAGACAGTAAATAATTAATTTAGCTTATAAAAGTAGAATTTAATTCATGTTAATAAGCTAACACCTTCATTGTTAAGGCCAGCCATTTTTGTCATATCATAATTGTATTTGGTCATATGATTATGGCTGGGTTCAAAGACAGGCAATAGAGTGAGTGAGAGAGAGAACACCGCCCATGTTGAAACATGGATATGACGAACAGGTCACCAGGTGAGAATTTGAGTTATAAAGCACTATCAGTTCAATTCCTCATCATTGCTGACATTAATGAAGCAGTTGTTGCCTGCATTCTGATTTCATTTGGATTTCATGGCAGGGGTCAGAGACAGTCAGTAGAGGGAGAGCACCGCCCATGTTTAGGCACAGGGAGAGGACTAGCAGGTCATCAGGTGAGAATTTGGAAATTGAGTTATAAGTCTGGTAAAGCATGTTGCACAGCAATATATGTTGCACACAGGATTGGAACTATTAGTTCAACTCCTCATCTTTGCTGACTCTTGCCCAAGTGCTATAACAAATGTTGTTGCCTGCATTCTGATTTAATTTGGTTGTCATGGAGGTTGAAGACGTGGCTGCGTTCAACAATGACATAAAGCAGATATTGTTATTATAAACTGGTTACCAACATAATTAGAACAGTAAAACATATTTTTTTAGTCTGATATACCACAGCTTTCAGCCAATCAGCATTCAGGGCTGGAACCACCCGGTTTATAATGACTTTTATTGAATGTGTATGTTTGGTGAATGAAAATGTATTTTTGAAATCTATTGCTTGAGCATGACGCCATACACTTGATCCATATTAAAGAGTTATACACTATATATACAAAAGTATGTGGACACCCCTTCAAATTAGTGGCTATTTCAGCCACACCCATTGCTGACAGGTGTATAAAATCAAGCACACAGCCATGCAATCTCCATAGACAAACATTGGCAGTAGAATGCCTTACGGAAGAGCTCAGTGACTTTCAATGTGGCACTGTCATAGGATGCCACCTTTCCAACAAGTCAGTTCGTCCAATTTCTGCCCTGCTAGAGCTGCCCCGGTCAACTGTAAGTGGTGTTATTGTGAAGTGGAAACGTCTAGGAGAAACAACGGCTCAGACTCGAAGTGGTAGGCCACACAAGCTCACAGAACAGGACCGCCGAGTGCTGAAGCGTGTAGCGCATAAAAATGGTCTGTCCTCGGTTGCAACACTCACTACCGAGTTCCAAACTGCCTCTGGAATGCATGGGTGTTTATGTCATGGGCAATGTTGCCGCTAAGCTGCGCGTGTGCGCGGGTGCGCAGCTCCCCTGGGACTGCCGTGCAGAAGAAATATCAGCCTGCGCAGAGAAGCACGAGATTGAACTTCACTCAACTTTCTAGAGTTTTCCCCATTAGTTAACACTATCAAAAAATAAATATACATATATATATATATATATATATATATATATATATATATATATATATATACTATCAACATTACCCTTTACTGTGGGAATTGTGATTGAATCAACGCAATATTAGCCACGTTCAATGCAACATACCAAAACAAAACAAACTATGCAAGAGATTTTGATGTAGGCAGAACGCATCGGAGTAGGATTCTATTGCATTGACAAGCATGACTCAGCCCGTACTCTACACAGACCAGTGCAGCATAACCAATCAGAGCTGTAGTAGGCCTATATGCAAATAGACCATTGCCATATATGGATCTGTGCCATTAATTTTGAACTGGACTGTTTTTACAGCATGAGCGGTTGTGAGTAGATGCGCTTGTTTTGAGATCAAAGCGAGAGCTACATGTAGTGACGTGTGCACATTTGTACATTTGTTCATATCCTTTGCTAGTTATTGAGTTATTAGCCCAGTTATAGAACATTTGTAGTCAGCAATTGGGGAGTGATTGCTTCCTAAAAGAGCACAAAATGTGTGCATTTCTAGACATGAAAAGCGAGTCAGGTAAAGAGCTTTTTTTTGTCTTAAAAGGGCAGTGTTGTATTTTGAGACAAGCTTGAATAAGCTAAGTAGCCGAGAGTAGCATAGTATGCCTGATTCTTTGTAATAATGGAATGGGAATAATTTTGCATTTTTTTATTTTGTAAAGTGGTTTCTTGCATCAAACAACACAACAACATTTTCAGTCATCTCCTTGTCTGAAGGACAAGTGGATAAACAGGTGAATGTCAAGCCCTGCATGTTAGTTTCAAATGTCACATGGAATGTATGCCTACATTGAACACCCCACATTGACTGCTACTGTAGGCTGAACGATAGAACAGCTATTTCCATGTTAAAATGTTATGGGATGCATTTTCTCCATTGTTTTTAATGGTAGGCCACTCTGGTAGGTCTACATTATGATCAAATAGCCACAGTAGCCTACTTGGCCACTGTCAAAACTGTAACTTAAAGCAGGTACAGCCTCAGTGTGCACAGTAAACGTGCGCTGGAAGTTGCACAGAATTTTCACAATGTTCAAGTTTGCGCTCAGCAGACCTGAAATTTGCTCAGTGACAAAACATTTTTGAGGGAACATTGGTCGTGGGCAATGCGCTGAGACCAAGGACACTGCAAGTGTGTATGTGTGTGTGGGAGTGTGGTGTGACAGACATTGTGTTATTCTGCGTAGCGTAGCTCAATAAATCTTGCTGTGTTTGTGTGTGCGTGTGTGTGTATGTGTGTGTGTGTGTGTGTGTGTGTGTGTGTGTGTGTGTGTGTGTGTGTGTGTGTGTGTGTGTGTGTGTGTGTGTGTGAGTCAATCAGCCATACCCTCCAGTCCATTATAATTCTCCTAATTAGATTTGTACTGGTAGAGTCTAACGCAGCCCCATTGGATTCACACACACACATACACACACACCAATAACCCTCCAACAGACATGATTTGGTTTACAATACTGTGTGTGGATTTGGTTTACAATACTGTGACATTGCCATAACTCCCCCTTACATCTCTGGCATCCCACTGACATAACCATAGAAATAGAATCCATGGATTGATTATAGTTCTATCCCCCCACACACACACAGTCTGTGACATCATTACAATTTCACCCGACAGCTCTGTGGCTTTCTCCCTCCACCCCAGGGACAAGACAGAATACCACCCACACACTGACTGTAAAATCACCAACTGTCTGCTTGCTGTGTGTTTTTATTTACATTCTGTTCAGGGGATGCTGAATATGTTTTATGTAGGCCTACATTCCTTCCTGTAAGAAAGGGAAGAATAGATATAGAGAAGAAGAGACAGAAAGGAAACAAAGAAAAAGAAAGGAAGAGTGGGAGATAGAGAGGGAGAGGCAGAAAAGAGAGGGGGGGGGGGGGGGGGGGGGGGGGGGGGGGGGGGGGGGTAGTGTGTGCAATGGCTGCTAACTGAGGCTGCTACCTGAGCTCTTGCGTTGCTATCCTCAGAGATTGCTGTATCAATTAGTCTCACTGAATGCCTCCAATAAGAATTGAACCCAACACTTTGTCTTTCTCTCTTCTTCTCTCTCTCTCTTTCTCTCCCTCTCCCGTTCTCTTCACCATATGGTGTTCTTCAGCCTCTAGTCATTCTCATTACCATCAACACGCTGCATCTCATGTGGAAAATAGAAGTGTGTCTTTCCTCATAAAATACAATAATGAAACAGGTTGATGATTTAAGGGTACTTGGAGGTACTAAGATTTTCAGGCCGTCATACTTTTACTTTTTACAAAAACACATAATATTAGGCATGGAATTTGTGTTGCTCTGCTAATTGTGCTTGTATATGATTGGTGGTTTCTGTTTGTGAGTGTGCAGGTTGGAGTTTCAGTATGGGCTCGGCTTACCAGTTCCACAGTTGGAGAGTGTTTGTGGTGGTGTGTGCTCTGCCCTGTGTGTGTGCTGTCGTAGCACTCACCTTCATACCCGAGAGCCCACGGTTTTTCCTAGAGGTAAGGAGTGTGTGTGTGTGTGTGTGTGTGTGTGTGTGTGTGTGTGTGTGTGTGTGTGTGTGTGTGTGTGTGTGTGTAACCCTCCTCTCTGTGTTTAGATGGGTAAACATGACGAGGCCTGGATGGTGCTGAAACAGATCCATGACACAAACATGAGGGCCCGTGGAGAACCAGAGAAAGTCTTCACTGTGAGTATACCGTACCTCTCTCTCGCTCTCTCTCTCTCTCTCTCTCTCTCTCTCGTTTCTCACACACTCCTCTCTCTCTCTCTCTCTCTCTCTCTCTCTCTCTCTCTCTCTCTCTCTCTCTCTCTCTCTCTCTGTCTGTGTGTGTCTGTCTGTCTGTCTGTCTGTATGTCTGTCTGTGTGTCAGTCTCGCTGCGCTGCGCACCCCGCCGAGCGATCGACGAGCGAGGAGCGAGCGAGCGAGCGACGAGCGAGCGAGCGACGAAGCGAGCTAGCGAGCGAGCGAGCGAGCGAGCGAGCGAGCGAGCGAGCGAGCGAGCGAGCGAGCGAGAGCGAGCGAGCGAGCGAGCGAGCGAGCGCAGCGAGCGAGTCTAGCGAGCGAGCGAGCGACGACACGACCGACCGACCGACCGACCGACCGACCGACCGACCGACCACCGACCTGACGACCGACCGACGACCGACCGACCGACCGACCGACCTGACCGACCGACCGACACACGCACCTGACCGACCGACCGACCGACCGACACGACCGAAAGACCACCGACCGACCGACCGACCGACCGACCGACCGACCACCGACCGACCGACCGTACCGACCGACCGACCGACCGACCGACCGACCGACCACACCGACCGACCGACCTACCGACCGACGACCGTACCACTACCGAGGCCTACCTACCTACCTACTACCTAGTCTATCTATCTAGTCTATGCTAGTTATCTTCTATCTATCTATCTTCTATCTATCTAGCATCTATCTATCTATCTATCTATCTATCTATTATCTATCTATGCTATCTAATCATCTATCTATCACGCTATCTATGCTATCTATCTATCTATCTATCTATCTATATATCTAATCTATCTATCTATCTCTCACAAACACACACACACACACATTGACTGTGTCTACCCCTGTAGGTGAACAGGATAAAGCTTCCCAAGCATCTGGATGAGTTGGTAGAGATGCAGTCAGACTCAGCCAACCCTGTGGCCAAAGTCTTCTTCAGGATCAGGACCGAACTCAGAGGGGTAGGAGTCTGATTTAGTGATGGGTTGGCGCAAAAAAAAAAGATGATATGAAAGCATTTTGATGAATGAATTTATCATTCTCTCTTTCCATCTCTCTCGCTCTCGCTCTCTCTCTCTCTCTCTCATTTACTCTTTATAGATCTGGTTAACGTTCATGAGATGTTTCAATTACCCAGTCAGAGACAACACCATCAAACTGGCCATTGTGTGGTTCACACTGTCTTTTGGGTAAGATTGTCCTCTTGACTCCACTCTGCTTAGTAAATGAAGGTGTTGAAGTGTTGCTCTTCTCTCAGCAGTACTTATCCCAGTTATCAGTCTGACCCAGATGAGTCTGTGTGTTCATAATGAAGTGTCTGACTCTGAGGTATAGCCAGTGTCTCTCTGATATCCCTGTGATGAATGCTAACACAATAACAGGGAAAGGGATCGCCCATCTATACTGAACAAAAATATAAATGCAACATGCAACAATTTCAAAGATTTTACTGAGTTACAGTTCATAGAAGTAAAAATAAAATAATTAGGCCCTAATCTATGGATTTCACATGACAGGGCAGGGGCGCAGCCATGGGTGGGCCTGGGAGGGTATAGGCCCACCCACTGGGGAGCCAGGCCCAGCCAATCAGAATGAGTTTTTCCCCACAAAATACATAAGTACTCCTCAGCACCCCCCTCCCCCTCCTCAGACGATCCCGTAAATGAAGAAGCCAGATGTGGTCCTGGGCTGGCGAGGTTACACATGGTCTGCGGTTGTGAGGCCAGTTGTCTCTAAAGTGACGTTGGAGGCGGCTTATGGTAGAGAAATTCACATTCAATTCTCTGGTAACAGCTCTGTTGGACATTCCTGCAGTCAACATGCCAATTGCATGCTCCCTCAACTTGAGACATCTGTGACATTGTGTTGTGGGACAAAACTGCACATTTTAGTGTGGCGTTTTATTGTCTCCAGCACAAGGTGCACCTGTGTAATGATCATGCTGTTTAATCAGCTTCTTGATATGCCACACCTGTCAGGTGGATGGATTATCTTGGCAAAGGAGAAATGATCACTAACAGGGATGTAAACAAATTTGTGCACAAAATTTGAGATAAATAATCTTTTTGTGCAT